TAATACAAAATGTCATGCACGTTTTAATACAAAATGTCATGCACGTTTTTGTACAAGACAAGAACACTGGACTATCATCTCCTTCTAGAAATACATATGTCATGTTTTTATGTTTTAAGCGCTCTCTGAGCGATATTTTTGTCGGACTATAGTCGTCAAATGGAGAAAACACAAGTGATTGGGGCCCAGAATCACTTGTATTCACTCCGCATGCTTGATACGACCAGACTTCATGCAAAAATCATGCAGAGGCGAAAAACGTGAAAATGAAGGAGGTAAACAGAAGAGTCTTCAGTTTATATCTTAGTCAAAAAAGCCAATTCCATGCAATTTTTACTCATGCATATTGTCGAAATCGAGTTTTGTATTTGCGTGCATTAATGTCCCAAGGCATGTCCGACATCTCTTTACGATTCTTTCGTTCTACAAAAACAGAACTTCGGTAAAACGAAAGGACAGGGAAGTCTAGCATAATACAATCATATACCAATACAAATATATATAGGCATTGAGTTTTAATCCGTCTTTCCCTTTCAAAACGAGCATTCCCTTTGGGCAACCCTGTCCGAAAAACGAATAGGCCAGCCTGGAAAGTTAGTTTCAGTCATAAAGTTCGAATTCATTTCTATATATCAAAACTATTCTAGTTTCGTCCACCCCGACTGTCCGTAAACAAAGTACAAACGTGTTTTTTCAAGTCACAAATGCAAAATACACATATACTAAGAACAATACCTATTATTCGCTGCGAGCAAGCCTTTACGTTTCTCCTTTCCCATCTTTCGGCGCCGTAGTTCGTTCTGTAATCAAATAAGCAAGGAAAAACTAAATTAAAGTAACAGCTCACTTGCATTGGACATTTTCAATCGAAATATACAAGATAAAGCAGTAAAAATCGGCAAGAATATGACTCCATTCGCTCACGTCTTCCCACGCTATTCAAATCAACACAGCGATCAGTAAATTTGTTTGCAAAGCCAGATCAAGCCAAAAGATGTTCAAACCAACTATCACCATGTACCTTAGTAAGCAAGACTCTTCCAACTTTTCCTGAACTTCTTCGACTGATGCTTCCTTTTCGAGACTGCAAACACTGAGTTTCGTCTAGATTCAACCGCCTTTTATTACTTCAACGACAAAGAAAATTCCAACGGACAATTTTAGCATTGATAACAATAGATAATCAACTAACTCATGCCAGACTTGTCCGGAATGGATATAAATTAGCCAAATGAAAATGTTTTGCATATTTCTATTGTCCGTTGTAAGTGATTAGCAAAATTCCGCTCCGTGAAGCGATTAATGGACAAACTCTTAGTTTGATTTAAAAGCCTTCTCTTTTCGCGTTAATACAACTAAAACTACAGGGTGTCTCAAAAAAAAACGCAACCACTATTTTCTAAAATTCATATTGTTCATAAGCTCAATAGATTTTACGCCCCTGGGATTTTAAAATGGCTTCTAATCGTACAGTTCAACTGCTAATAGTCAAATCAGCTAAACTAATAATGGTGCAGCTAACAACCGAACGAGTTTTTATTGTCGTGCATGATAACTTGAATGCTAACTGTCGACCTTGTCAAATAAATTGTAAATAACATTTTACTCGTTAAATACTTTCAATTCAGCTCGTTGGTTTACGCACCCGACTTTGTTTACCGACGATTGTGCCGCTAGAATATGATTGCGTTTTTTTTGATAAACCCTATATAACAACTTTTTTCTCGGTACCTTCTTTAACGCTATCTTAACGTAAAAAATGATCATCATTGGCCATTGCAGGCCGAATCAGAGCTCGAAACTTTTCATAACCTTGTACGCAGAGTATTTCATATTGAAAACAAATAATACAACAATTATGTCAATAAAGCTGGAGATAAATGTAAGAGTAAAGACACACATATTACAGACACATTCCAGTTCGCCCAATGCAAGCACACTTTACCAAATTATGCTAAGAAACCGGCAAATAAAGACAGACAACACAAAATTGAAAAATACGACGATTGAAAAAAAATTATCCTAACTGCATAATAGTCATCATAGTATTTTTATGTATATAAATATTACAAAGTGAAATAAATAAACGTATAGATTAAAAATGACTATCTACGAATGTGATCTAGTGTTGGAAAACGTTATCTATAGTGACCATTAAGTGTTGGAGCAGTTCACCAGCAGTGCATGCTCATAGGTGCAATGAGAAAAGATTGAAGTTCAATAATATTACGAGATCATTGTAAAAACATGCTCCAAAACTGTCGAACAGTGTTCTATTGTGGAAATTGATTTGCGAAGATATTATGTGAGGCTCTTTTCAGTCTATCTCCTCCAAATTAGATTTAGGAAAGAAATGAAGTTCTATTTTGGTGAGATCTCAAAAAAAATCCTAGGTGAAGTGATTTCATTCAAAAGTCGGTTGTTTATAAGCGTCTGATTTGCTGCCACATTTCTGCCAACTAAATTCAAATTCACGTTTTGTTATTTCAGCGCCACGTTTGCGAGTCAGACCTGTTTCATCCAGACTCAGCTCACACATATCAAGATCATCTGTGCCCGCGACCAGGACAACGTTCACTCCGTTCGGGTGTATCTCAGCTGGCGGGCTATCCATTGCCCGTCAAAATGGGCGAACCAGTACCCGCGCTTCTTGAAGTCATTGTCACGATACTCGTCACCGGGCTTCACAAAGGGAACGCGGAAATATCGCTGTGGTCGACGCGGGGGAAGTCTGGAAGTTGGCTTACTAACGCTTGCGTGACTTGCAGCTAAAACGAGAAATTAAACGTTTGAGAACTGATACAAAGCTATATCCAGTATGAAAAAAGTTAATTTAGTAAGAGATGATCCTTACTGGACCTCTAGGAAGAACAGTTTAGAACTGATAGAGCTATCCACTATAAATAAAGTTAGTTTAGTTTAGGTTTTCCTCCTGTAGTAACACTGGATAATAAGAGATGATCCTTACTGAAACTCTAGGAACAGTTTAGAACTGATAGGGCTATCCAGTATAATAAAGTTAGTTTAGTTTAGGTTTCCTCCGTAGTAACAAGAGTTCAGAACTGATAAATGAACTTGTTAAAATATAAACATGTAATTGATATTAACTATTTCCCAACCTTCTTCTACGACCTCTTGAGGTGCTCTTTGATCACCAGCACTTTGACCCGTCGACTTCGATGCCTTATTTTTATTTTTCCACTGATGATAAACCTTAAGACGGCGATGGAACTCTTGTTTACAAGCTTCTAATAACTCGACATCTAGAAAAACAAAAACAGAAGTCCATTTTGTATTCAAAACTAAACTTTCCACAGGAACCAAGTAATGACAACAACACATACCGCACGAGGTGTTGATGGTGTCTCTTAACTCAGCGTATTTCCATTTACTCAGGTCATATTTCTTATTCGGATCTTTCAAGGAAGCCGCTCTGTTGGAAAACAAGTTCATTTTTTAGTATCTTGTTTGTGATAGCTGATCAGAATAAAGTATGTTTAGGTTTTCTCCTGCATGTAGTAACGCTGGATCAATAAGAGATGATCCTTACTGGACCTCTAGGAAGAACAGTTTAGAACTGATAGAGCTACTCAGTATAAATAAATAAAGGTAGTTTAGTTTAGGTTTCCTCCTGTAGTAACACTGGATCAATAAAAAGAGATGATCCTTACTGGACCTCAATGAAGAACAGTTTAGAACTGATAGAGCTATCCAGTACAAATAAATAAAGTTAGTTTAGTTTAGGTTTCCTCCTGTAGTAACACTGGATCAAAAAGAGATGATCCTTACTGGACCTCTAGGAAGAACAGTTTAGAACTGATAGAGCTATACAATATTATAAAATATTTACCTTATAATAGCTTTTTGTTCCTCCATGGGTTCTACATTCGAGTTGGATTCCTAAAATGAGAACAAATTAGTATAGGCCTAATTCTGTCTAGCAGAAAATGAACATAAACTTCCACACAGTTGAACAGTTAAACGGAAGCATTTAGTAGTATTAATCGCCAAAGAAATTGAAAAAATATTGAGATATAATACCTTTGCCAAACGCAAGGCCAGTTCGTGATCTAATCTCTCTTGTTCAAGAGCAGCTTGTCTGAAATAATAAAATTTTACATTAAAAAAAATATCAGATTTAAAGCATTACGTGTGAGTCTATAAAAAGGACTCGGGAATTTTTTTGGAAAACCTCGCAAAGATGTTTATGGTAGCAAAAATAAGTTCATACCGAGATTTTGCCTCTTCTTCCTCTTTCCTTAATTGTTCCTCGATTTCTTTCTAAAAAACCCAGAAAAGATTCACGGTAAAAATATTGCCAGAGGTGATCAAGTATGGTACGACATTAATACATAAAAAGTTTTGAAAATAATTTTATTTATTTATCGTAATAATGCTCAAAACCTGTTTCGCTTTTTCAAGTTCCCTCCGTTTCATTTCTTCCTCTTCTGCCCTTCGCCTTTCGGCTTCCATTTCAGCTTTACTAAAACACACAAAAAAAATGTAAACATTTAAATATCGTACACAGCCAGCGCTCATATTTCAGCCAATCAGTGCTCAGCAGGGTTTTCAAAAAAGAAACCATTCTGCAGTATTTAATCCATCAAATCTTTTGTTATTCTTTATGAAAATAGCCGAAATTTCGTGAACATGTTTAGTTATAAGAACTGCAATAAATGTGACATATACTTTAAGTGATATTAAGTTGTTTCAACCGAGAATTTGATTTTTGTTTAGTTTGACAAATAGTCAAATCTATTTCCGCCATTTTGGATCATCTGGTGTGAGTTTAGGAGGAAAAAGAATATGATATCGTTGATCATTTTAAACTTACATTCTTGCTTCTTCTTCAAGTTGTTTTCTTCTCCTTTCCTCCTCTTCTCGCCCTTTTCTTTTCAGTTCCATCTGTTCTTTGATTTTTCTCAACTTCTCTTCTTCCTCCCTCTTCTCCCTCCCTTTTTGCTTCTGAAAATCTACGACTTGTTTGTCCACCTTTGCCACAAGAATACGGTGGAGATTCTCGATCTGATCACGGCTCATTATCGTGTTCTAAAATGCAGCACCAAGAGATGATTAGATCGACAATGATACATAACAGACGGGCCTTCAACAACACTCCTTGATAAGTTCCTGAGGCAGCATTTCAACACGTCTACTAACCTTGATTTTCTGTATAGCAGCCGATATTTCTTTTTCGATATCAGAAATCTGTTTGGTCAGAACATTCTTGTCGGTTTTTAAACCTGAAACTACATTGAAACAACGAGGAAACCGTCAGTGGAGGTGTTGTAGAATCACCCCCAACCGTTACTACAGGAAGAAACCTAAACTAAACTAACTTTATTTATACTGGATATACTTCTATCAGTTCTAAACTGTTCTTCCTAGAGGTCTAGTAAGGATCATCTCTTATTGATCCAGTGTTAATACAGGAGGAAACCTAAACTAAACTAACTTTATTTGTACTGGATAGCTCTATCAGTTCTAAACTGTTCTTCCTAGAGGTCCAGTAAGGATCATATCTCTTATTGATCCAGTGTTACTACAGGAGGAAACCTAAACTGAACTAACTTTATTTATACTGGATAGCTCTATCAGTTCTAAATTGTTCTTCCTAGAGGTCCAGTTTAATCATAATCATTCCTTTATATCTGTGAAAAACAAAACACATGGTCTGATAAGTTAACTAATTATGAATATTTGAAATAGTTGGCCTTATAAGAAATTTCGGTGGAATAGTTTCATTGCCCTCGGTAGAATTTTGTAAACTCCTGATATACCTTTGCTGGTGTTATTTCCACGCGAGGAACATTTTGACGGTCTTCTGAATCGTGGCCCAAGCTTTTGCTCTGAACTTGATCTTGTTTGCCACTGGAAGGCATGAGAGTTAGAACCAGCTTTTTGACGTTAACTATATCCAAGATCTCTCTGCGAAGTTAAGCATGGAGCATTGTCACATTTCTGGACTGAGATTGCGCACCATATCACTTTCTTCCAGCAATTGACAACGATCCACCTTGAAACTTTCGATACAAGAGCTTTTAGACTCTCAGGATCTGACAGCATTATATGATCAAATGTTGCAAATTACAAAAATGAAAACGAATTTAGCCATATTTTAGTGGAAACCTTTCAATAAATCAATCACTTTAACAATGATACAATAATCTTAACTTTCCTGGTCTAAAAAATACTTTCGTCAACCCAAACTTGAAATCTTCAGGATCCATGCTGACCGCTCAGTATGTATATTCAAATCTACGCTACACTGGGACAGTTGTCAAGTCGATTGTGCCATTTCTAGCGAATTTATTAACAAGTTTTAAAGCAATCTAAATAGAATTACTAGTGGGTGCATCTTTTATCCCCCCTTCCACCTGCGAGTAAAAGGACGTAAAGACAGCAGTTGCCCCTGCATTTTAACACAATAAGGCAGTGTTCTGGGATTTTAACCCAGAGGCCAAACATAACAGCACTGTTTAATGAAAAAATAGAATTCACTATAGATCTTTGTTTGGCCCCAGACATGGACACTGTTTTTTGCCAAACATGAAATGGAGGGAAACCGGAGTGCCCGGAGAAAAACCCTCGTGACCACAACATGAAATCCGGATCTCAAAATCCGTTTGTATCTTAAATGTGATTGGTTCATTCGTAGTCACATGACTTTAAATAAATGCAATGTTTCCCGCCACGGAAACAAGTGAAAAATTGTTGCTCGCATATTGTCATAACAAAGTGTTTTTGTAATGAAATTGTTGTGTAACATGTATGTTTTCGTTCCCATATAACAAAACACTTAATGTACACTCCCTCGGGAAATAGTGAGTTTTGTTTTCCCTCAAGTCTCAATGTTTCAAATATTCAGACTCTTAGGAAAACAAGACTCACTATTTCCCTCAAGGCGATCATCAGGCGAATGGATGCATTTAATGTTTTTTCTGACGCATAAGGGTAGCATACTAGCGTGTAGATTTATCCACACATGTACATTTTGTGTCAGTGTGTACTGTATGTATAGCATTTCTGTAAGGTATACAAAGGAAACAACCATTTTTTTTCTCATTTTAGCAAAACATTCAAGATACCAGATGAACTAAGAATATGCTCCTGGATAAATATTAAGTGCAATTAATATACTAAGCATATCACAAGCAAGTGTTTCATAAAGTGTACTGAGTTACTGATCACACATTAATTAAATGTTCTACCTTATTCTTCAACATTTCTTGGATAACCAGCTCAGTCTGACTGTACAATTATTTGTGAAGGTAAATTATTTGGGTGTAAGCTGAAGTGTTCCAATCCTTTGTTTTGTTTTGTTATACATATTTCTAATAAATAGATAACTATTGTTTAATTGAATTTTATTTTTAGTAAATCTATATTTAGTAAGTAGTACATACCAAATGCAATCCTGACACCAGTCCATGTTATACAGTCTGTGTCTATAAATATTTCACCAATATGAAAGAAACAAACAAACTTTTCCTCAAGTATTAGATATAGAAGATTCCAGACTGTAAGCTAGATACCGTAAAATTCTTCCTGTTGCAACGACCAATGGGAAGGAAAGGGTGTTGCCTGTTACAGTCTTGTGAAACATAATGTATTAATACATAAATATGTATGTTATGTATTATTTCTTCACCATAGCTTGTAGTAATGTTTTACAGTTAGCTTGAATTCTTTTTAGTGTACTTCTACTGTTATCAGTTCTTCTCTTGCTTTTTGATAAATGCTTGAGAATCCTGCATTAAATCCAGATCCCCTGGGAGAGCTGAAAGACCAGAGGATTCCAAACTTTGATTTAGTTGTTTTGTTATTCCTTGTAGTCTCTCAAGTTCATCTGCAAAAATAGAAACAATTTTATATTATATGCAAATTTTCCATGTAGTTATTGAAATTGATGAAATTATTTCACTTTTAGACTAACTTTGCAATTCATTATCTGAACATGAATAACTTGATAATGCTTCCCTAGGAAATCAAAATAACATAGACAGTACAGTTAACATTCAATTTAATAGTGTCTAAAAAGGTGAAACTGTCAATATTATAGTACTTGAAGCAATCAAAAGTAAAACAAATTGGATGGGCAAGTGTTAAAGGATTACTCTTGTGTGGCAGAATAATGAAGCTATAATCTATCATTGTAAATAGACGGTAGTCACAGTGAATACAGACAATGTCTATATCCATGATACTGATATACAATATGTTGCAGTATAGATTAGACGATCACGGTACTGGAAACAGAAAATAAAAGATAAGACATTAATAAAAAGCAACTTACATTCTTTTAAAACACTGTTCAGACTCAGCTTGCAGCATTTGGATAAGTTCAACAGTCGATATGTCGCTTTGAATTCCCAGGGTTGCCGCCATGCTGCTTTCCCCGGAAAAGGCCAAAAGGGCCTGCGGAGGAGGTACATCACTCCAACACTGGGCTATCAATTATAGCTCAGTGTCAGTGATCATGAAGCATTTTGTAACATCCTGCGCAGATATTCGGAGATGCGGCTATCTTTAAATGGGGGAACGGGGTATCGGGGAATTCGGGAATTGGCAAATAAAGGGAATGGGGCTTATAGTTTGAAACTGAATTAACTGACTTCATTTTGGGTTTTTTTATACCTTTCTCTGATCTCTGATCTTTTGCTCAGAAGTTTGTTTGCGTCACCCTGCAAAAGACACAGTTTCTCTGCAATACAGAGGTTTGCATCGTTTAGCACCCGGCGAGTATGCTGGCGCGCGTTTTGTGATGGACCATGAAAGTGTAAACTTCTTATGATTTCTATTCAAATTCCAAATTTACTTCAAATATGATTTAAACGAATTCGTGGTCATTCCGAGGTATTGCTATATATATCACCATGTTTCTCCAGAACTTTTAAATAAAAACGATACAGTAGGTGTGCTTAATTATTGTTGTGTTTGGTATACGCATTTTGATATCCTGTTGTTTTCAAAATTACTAAAACGTGTGCAAGGCCTTTTTCTCAAAAATATCAATCATTGATCTCGTCAGTTAACAGTTGTAATTGTTAAAAAAAAGTTTAATTCAGTTTCAAATTATGAGCCCGATTCCCGATTCCCTGATTCCAGAATTCCCCGTTCCCACTTTTAAAGATGGCCCGAACTCCGGAGATCCTGTGTCTTATTTTTAGCCATGACGATAATCAATTTATACAAAACATATTTTCTGACAACAAGGGTCGTCTTGTATAATATTGAGTAAACTTTTGTTAAATATGGCAGTGCCTACAAATGCTATAAAGGAAGCAAACGACCAAATATTACTGATGCATTCTAAGATGCAAGAACTGGAACAGGAAATTGAACGTTTGAATGGAAAATTATCGTCGAAAGAAAATCTAGAAGAAAGCAATATTCAAAAGCAACAAGTTGTAAACATGAAAGACACGGAAATTCGAGAATTACGAGCAGAACTACGTATAGCAAAGGAGAAAATAAATAACTTAGAACAAGAGCTCTTTGACAATGAAGTAAAAATGGAAAAATTACAAAGCAAAAGTAAAATTTTGGATGACGTTGTCGGGTTTCGTGGTTCACTGGAAGGTTTGTTATCATATTTCAAAATTGTTCAAGAGATGAATATTAATGATAATGACATAAATGGCAATTTACGTGAGACAGAAATAACAGATGGTTATCAGAGTGACAGTGAACATGGTGGTAAAACTAGTGTATTAATTAATGGTGATCCAGATGCTGAGCTTGTAGATCATATTTAATAGTTGTTACTGGTAATTTGATTACAGTCAATGTCACATCACTTTTGTGAGAAGTTTGCAATTTACACTTCTTTTCGAAAAATAATGACAAATAATGTGTCTTATAAATAATGAAGATGACTGCCTGTGTTCTTGAATTTCCTTTGTACTGACTAAAATTTTGGTTTTCAAATAAAATATTCTGAAAAAGGTCTGATTGCAGAGTTAGTTCAAATATCACAGAACAACATGATTGCTTTTATTTATAGTATGTGCTGAGTGTCAAATCATGAGGAATCACACTTGCAAAAAACAATGGAGTTGTCTTTCTGATTGGTATTTAACAAATAGATAACATTGAACCGTTGTCTGTTAGTTATAGATACACAGTATGACATCATTTCTGTCAAAATTTAACAGGCAAGTTTTCCCATCACTTGGAAATTGCAAAGTAGAAATTTTGCAGATATCAAGCATACACGATCTGTATGACTGAGGAAATGCTATTGCATGCTAAAATGTGATTGGCTGAAAAATAAAACAAGAGATGACCGATTAAACTGAGTAAAATTATCTGTGACATCATTCTGTGTGTCTGTCCTCTTATAGATCATGGCTCTCGACCAATGAATTTGCTTGAATTCCTAACGTTAGTATATAATCTGTGCTGGATGTATAAAAGCTAAATTTGTGTTAGTTGTATTCATTTGCCAAATCAGAAACACTGATTAAAATACTTCATTTTTAAACAAATCAAGAAATATATTTGTTACAAAAAGTAATTACAAACCAAAAGTTAGTCTATATACATATACATTCTTTGTATAATAAGGGAATATCATTGCAAAATATTTTACTGAATCTCAAAAAATTGAATAACATCTGGCCAGTCTTTTTCATCCCATTCACCATTTTCAATAACATTTGATGGACTTTTTTTCCAGTCCCAATGTTTGACTGGCTCAGCCCAGGATTTCCCGTAATTTGCCTCAATGTAAGATAATGTTTGACATGGTACTCGAACTTTCATTCCGAGAAATTCTGTCCAACATAATGAAAAGTTGGGGAAAATGTACCTAGATAAATAATGCAAATACATTTCAATTAAAAATTACATTATTTAATAATTACATTACTTAATTTTAAAAGAGGTTTAAATTCTAGTTTCTTTATCTACAATTTTTCCCACACCTACCTAGACCAGTCCTCAGCCTTAATAATGAACAATGCCTGGTGGAACTGTTTATTCATGTTCACACATAGTACACGCCTCATCAATAGGGTAATCTTTTGGTATGTGTGGGTAGTTTGAGGCCTTCAGACATCTTCTGTACAGAAGGTTTGCGAAAATAATGATTTTGCATTTGTGAAAAATGTTTGTGTTTGTAAAAAAAAGAATGGGCACAAAAATTGGGAGTGACAATGCAGTTTGAATACGGTTTCAGGCAATTTGGCGCAGGTGTGCAAGGTTCAAAAGATTGGGTATTTCAACTTTTAAATCAGATTTTCTGGTAACTTGATACTCGTTAATTTCAGTTGTAACTAATTATTATAACGAACATTATAAATGAGTTTTAATTTAGATGTTATTACACCAACAGAATGTTGCAATGTATTTCACGGATGTTAACGTTAGAATGTTTACACTGCATTTATTTTTCGCACTGCACTCTTAAATTTAGTCTGCGATAGCAGACTGATCTTTGCCTCCCCCCATGGAGGAGACGGAGAAACAGAGATCAGAGATCAGGGGGGAGGCAGAGATCACTCTTGTATCGCAGACTAAAAGGGGCGGTGTGTTATGTTTTTAGCGGACCGAGAACCCTTCCAAGAGGTAACAAGTAACTAAGCAGGAGCAGTGTTTGAGATAAGCAGGAATTTTGTTTTTGAACTAACATCTAAATTCCTTGTACTTTGGGAGCTGCAACTTTAACGTGGTTGATTTTACAAGTTATGCATATCTAATAGTCACAAAAACTTTAATAACTTACATTACATATTCCTGCGTATTTAGGCCTGTTAAGTTAAACTGAATTTTCCTTCATTCACCCATTTTTGAGCGCAAATCGTTTATTCATTGACTGCTAAAAACACACTTGTAAAAACACTGTGTACAAACTTTCTCTACAGGAGATCTCCGAAGGCGTCAAAGTATCCATACACATACCAAAATATTTCACCACAAATGACGCGCGCGCAGGCGTACGCCTGGCAGGAAGAACATTTACCAGGTCCATGCGTTTTTTATACACCTTTAGTATATATAGCTGTCGTAAAGTAAAACTGTCAAAAAAACTTTTGATAATTTAAGAATAATTGTTTCTGCAATCTGCATGTAACAAAAAGACGATCACGATTGCATGGTTCGTTGTAGAGAAGACTATAACGACGTTATATCCATCGGTACTCAAGGGTAAATTTGAAGGTGAACGAATATAATAAGTTGACTATACTTATAACTACTCTAGACTTACTTGAATTTTTTTCCAGTTTTGGCCTGAGTCCCTCCATTCCACATGTAAGTTTCTTCTTCATAAAAGAAGAAAATATCCAACTTAATATCATCAACTGTCTTAAATGACATCTGAAAACTATCATTGACCTATAAAAGACAGATATCAAATCCATTATTATTTGATTATTCAACCTCTATAGGAAAAACGTTTTATCACAATTGGTAGCTAGTTAACACTATGTTATTGTCCAGGTTTGTGCAAGAAATAGTTCCTTTCTCGTCAGTGTCTATTGTATTTTAGCCAAACTTATCAATGGCATTCGTCTTGCTAAGCTCATCAACCTTGACTTGAAAAATATGTTAATTAAAAGATTGCTATTGGTTTATATTTATGCTGTCTCTAATCTCTATTCTTGACTCAACTCTACAGGTCAGTGCATGTTCGTAGACCTGCAACGTCTTACGCTAGAAATTTCTCACAAACATCAATTTCAGGCTTACCCTTCCAAATAAATGCTCTAAGTACAATCCATTATTTTGGAATTCATCAATAAGTTGCTTATTATAATCAGTGATCCACATTCCAATATCCATATCTTTACCATGAGAGATAACACTACATTGTCGGAACCAACCTACGGAGGAAAAAACAAATTATGTAAGCTAGTCATATATGCCTTTCTAGATAATCTAGATAAGCATTTATTGGAGATAGATTTTTATGGGAATACTTATATGCGTCAATGCATGCTAATGCCAGGCTTGGAGAGCACTAACAACGCGTTTGGCTAATTTATTATATAATTTGCCATCAAGCAAATCTCAGAGTCATGATACTTGTAACGACACACTAGTTTTATGTTATAAAGGATTCTTGCTAACCCAGACATGTTCCACTACTAAGCCAAAATCTCACTCTTAGATCGTCTAAAATAATTTTCGCAATCTTCAACACTTCTTTCCCGCGCTTTCTAAACGTTCCTGCCTTTGATGTCCCATCATCTCCATATTTGGAATAAAATTGTCTTGCTCGTTTCATGTTACAAGGCAAATATCGGGAAGTGTTTAAATTCTTCAGAAACTCGTCAATTTCAGAAGGTAATCTGATTGTATAACCGTCAACAGTTGAAATATCCAAAGAGAATCTGTACAAAAAATGCAAGAATTAATGATTCTACTGTATCTGATTTAATTTATTTGCATGCAATGTGATCATACTTACCTATTAAGAACACTTTCATTATGAAAATAATAAGAAATCAATTTTTTGTCCAGATTGATAGCGAAGTCTTTCCATGAAATTGAGCCATGCCATAAGCCAAGTGCTTTTCTATCATAAAATACTATCACATGAATGATAACATCAAGACGAGTAAATAAATAATGGAATGGTACGAGTTTTTCCATTGTGCCATTTAGTTTAATAAGTCTAGGATCTTGACCTGTCACACTTGTATAAACAATTTTTTTTTCTTTCAAACTGTGCAATACCTACGAAAATTAAAAATAAACTGGATCAATGAAAAAATTCAATTCTAATATTATGTGGTTTGGTCCACAAAAAAGTAAAGAGTGTTCCATTCGCTACCAAACGTCGTTTACAACACTCTGCTCTGATTCTTCCGTATCATCAGGCAGCCGAATCTCGTTCCCCGAGCCCACATTCCTCTAGCGAAGAAACAAAGGCTCTGGGATAATCCAAACCCTCCGATTTGTAACGGTTTTTACTTTTTATTGTATTTTAAAATTGAAACGGCGTGAACGAACATAGTCAATGGTTTCAGTTACCAGCTAAATGAACGTGTTAAAATAAATTGAAGTCAAAGATGACCGTGTACACTTGTGTACACTTGTGTACACGAAAATACTCCAATTAGTTTCACACGGATTCACGCATGCCTACAATGCAATCTATATGTATATATACTCACCCGGGCATTTAAACCACTTGGATTCAATCGAGATTCAAGCACACCTAGAGTGATTATAGGTTTTTGACAAAAATGATAGCATCCTTTTCTATGGTGTGTCTTTTGGGAATTCACGTCATCTAGGACACTCTTCAAAACTGTCGGATCAATGATAATTATTGTGATACGATTCTCGGAACATGTTTCAAGGAAGTCATCCAGCAGTGACTAAAAACGACAATATAATCATTGATGTATACATTCTTTAGATGAGCTACAATGCAAATGTGTTGGCGGATTCGTCAATAAAACACTGCATATTATATAATAAATATATATATTCCAATATAAAGTTCGATTTGAAAATCAGCGAAAAAATCGACTAAAATGGCCTAATAAACTTCTTTGACATCTGCATTGTTATATTGTACAACATAAAGTAGTAAGTCTCTGACTAAACATTTGAAAATTACTCAATAATCAATATACCAAAAAGAGACGAATATTTTATTTTTATGAAGTTTTTAAGCTTAACAGAAAAAAAATATGATTTTATTTTTGTGAAGTTTGGAATGCTCAATAAGCATGCTCAAAAATCATCCTGACAAACAAAAATCGCTGAAATCAAGATGCACCTCAAGAAATTATATTAATATAATAATAGGAAACGCCCGATAAAGTGGGCTAGCCCGGTCCAGGTAATCGGCCCCTGTTGCATCTTACTATTAAATTTGATATGTACCTACAAGTAAATTCTGTCCAGTTTTTTTCAAATCCTTGTGTTTGCTTGAAATCCACGCTGGAGCGATGTTAACAAGAAAACTCTGAATAATAAAAACATATCAGAGAAGAATGACCGTAATACTTATCAGCGCATACACTGACACTGGGTTATGACAAAACCTTGAGAACTGTGTTCTTGTTGGTGGAAACGATTGGGAGATCTATCATACCCCTCTACCAAATTGTAAATCTAAGTCATGGAATCACCCTTTTTTGCCCAATTTGTCAATATTCCAATAGAAAAAAAACTTAGGCTGCAAACTGTGGTAAGCATTATTAATTACCTCTGTTACAAGTATGTATATAGTATGAAATGTTTTCACAATGCACCAGGAGGATCTTAGCTAGACCCTGGCTAGACCAAGTAAAAACATTGGACACCAAAATATAAGAATATTATAGAACAGGTTGTTTGGAGTTTCAATGAGTTCCAGAGTAGACAGGGCCGTAACTAGAACGATAATTGGGGGGGTGTTTATTCATATATTCAGTTTTGCATAACGGATTTCTATTGTAAGCTATTGCACTTACAAAAGAAACCCGTTTGGCAGAACTGAAGATATGAATAAATACCCCCCTCCCCAATTATCGTTCTAGTAATACAGCCCTGAGAGTAGATGATGTGACAGATTTTTTTAGTATAATCACTCTAAAATGTTTGCAACCAGTTACCAGTCCACAAAAGGATCATCAAGGCAAATAGAATTTTGCATAATAGATCAACTTTTGATTTAGGCAACAAAAAAGGAATTTCCAAAGAGTGCATACTAAACTTAGTAAAATTGCCCAGTTTGGCTGAGAAATATTGTAAAGTACAGAAAATATACTTTTGCATCATAGATGATCTACCCAACAAAAGGGAAATAAATCACCACAGCTAAAAAGAGCATACTGGTACCAAAAGGAGTGTTAGTATGATTGCCAAGTATGTCCAGAAGTATTTACATCGTTACACGCCATAGTAACTCTCCCTTCGTCAGGAGAGTTAGTATGGATAGTTAGTCTCTCCTGACGAAGGCCTCAGATCGAGACGTGGAGAAGTGTTTTTCAGGGAGTTGTTACTTGTTATACCACATTTGATGTTAAGATATTTGAAGACGCTGCTCCCTAGCCTGCAACGCAGACTATATATTGGGGTATATATCCCAATATATAGTCTGCGTTGCAGGCTAGCTGCTCCCTGGTTATATTAATATAATACTATTTAAACTTATATTATGCATTAAATCAAAAAGGTTTTTACCTGTTTCCCACGATTTATATTATTGTACATAGAAATCTGAATCCAGAGAAAAGTGACAGAGACGAGAGATAAGAAAAATAAAACCAACGAACGTTGCATCAAAATACATCTGCTGATCATTTGTATCTTTTTAGAATTTCGGCGGCAAAAATTAGATACTTAGTCCCTTAGGCACTGCTCATAAACGCGATCCTGCTTTCCATATTTTAAAGTGCCATTGATATTAACTTCTTTACATACCGAAACAATCGTTGTTTAATATATCTGATCACAAATCATAATTGAATGTTCCGCCATCGACCATTTTGGCTGACATAATAATGGAGCATCAACTGGAGCGTGACCATCTTTCCCGACTGAACCGTACTTGACTCTGGCTTGACGTACATATATCTATTTATCTAAAGATTTGTGAAACCATCTACATGGTTTAATTATAAAAGCATTTGTGATTTAAACAGAAAAGCTATTAAAATTTACAAGAAATAATCATGCATTGTAAGTAGAGTACTTCATGTAATACATATCATATGGTACATAATCTTTCCCGTGGTGGCGAAGTTCATCATTCTGGAAAGAAACACCCAATTCTCAATTCTCATGGCCAAATCATGTAGAGAAAATCTTCTTTGAATTCGTCTTTTAATTTGGCGCCTTAGCTTAAGCAGAACTGGAAAATGTCAGACATATTACAGTTTACATCTAGCTATTTAGTCCATGAATTTTAGCAATTCTAGGGCTACCTCTTCAGTTCTGGAACTCCAGGAAAGATACCAAAAATTCCTTGTTACTTGTTGACAGTTTGATGTTACTTGAAAAGAAGAGATTTAAAGCATCGTTATCATTCATGTTAATAAAGGCCCTAGTATATAAAAATAAAAACCATAAATTTGCCGAAAGGTGGGATATAACAACGAGGCGTTGCTTTTGCATTTGGCTGACGTTTACTCTTTTGATAATATCAACTCCTCACAGTGAACTTTACATTTGAGTTCACTTACTCCTGCATGAAGACAATGATATACGAAAATGTAGTTCATAGAAAACCACATACGAAAAGAGACGCAAGTTTTAAATACCTGATGTGTTGTTTGAAAGTCTCAGTTATTCTGTATATAGAACTTCGTAAAGCTAAAATATTAAAAATGCCGCTTTTTAAAGGGCCATGCAAGCCCAAAAAACGAATAAACATATATAATTATGGTTCGTGCTATATAATACACTGATAGCATTACATTTGAGGCGACAAAAACTCATGACATTTACATCACTGGTCATTGTAATAAAACGCTGTTTTATTCGTTACTGCATGGGCATATCTATTTATACAAACCACAAACGCGGGGCGGGATAACATGTATGCGTGAAAATTTGCGTTGCATGCAAGTTGTAGCTGCTAAATATTGTCCTTTGGCTCAGTTACAATATCATATATATTAATTACTCTCTGACTCTATATGAAATACTCACAATCTCTCAAAACGAATACCGTTCTCCTTATCTTCGCAGGATGTCGTTTTCTGTATGCTTCCACATCAGGAGGTCTTTTTAGGTAAAGCTCTACTGCCTTAAACAACAAAACAGCTTGGAATTTCACACTCTGCAATGCATGTAACGGTTGTGATAATTCTGCATGAGATCGATAACTAAAAACCCAGATATACACTATAGAACACTTTTGTAGTATTGGTACCGAATGGGAAACGAGAACGTGGCAAAACACACTCGAAACGTTGAGAAGCGTTTTATCTATTTTATCCGTTGTTATACAACATTTAATGCGAAGTGGTTTGAAGACCCTTCATGCTGCTTCCTGGTTATATCAGAAAAATTTAAATGAAAAGTTCCACAATCATGCGTACGGCTAGCTAAAAAATAACATGTCTAGTCAAAACTGTTTTTAAAAATATACCTGAAATAGTTCCAGTAACGATGTCAGTATAAATGGCAATGACTGGATAAAAGTAAAAATACAGAAGATACAGAACTTTTTAAAAGTTCATGCAAATCATTTGTGAAATCGAAAGGCCAAACATTTACCTTTTGAGCGACACCAAAAACATCATCCGTAAACGATGCAACGACAAGTCGCGATAAAGCTGAAATAACAGTAACTCTTTTCAGATTCAATACTTTTATGTAAGAAGAGTAGCTATACACTTTAAACGCACCAAACACAATCGGTGGTTAGTATACAGTGTGTGAATATAACTTTACCACTGGACTAGCTATAAAATGCGACTGTGTAAAATGGCAATCTCTAGTTTCCTATTTACTATAAAGCTTTAAAAATCACCAAATTCACACGAAAAAATTCTAGCTAGAAACAAAACCTTCTGCGGCCCAAATCTGCAACTGTACGTCAGTAAATAAACGTTCCATTTCTAATTCGTCCACCTTTATGTTGGAAAAAAGATAAGGATTATGTTCGAAACAGCAGCCAGAGGATAGTAAATTTCAGTATTGTTGATACCAAACATTTTATCCCATATTTTTGTACAACTTTGACAGATTCAAAATATTAAAAAATATATATTACCTTCTCTAAAAAATATTCTATCACTGGAATTTGCTTCAATTCATTAGACAGCAAAACCTTCACGCATAATAGACAATAAGGGACATCAGTAACATTCGTTGACAAAAATTACGACCATAGTTATATACGAAGATGCAATTTTAGGGGCATTATGGGACATATAATATTCAGAATTTTGAATCGATGAGTTTCATTAACATTTTAATCAGTGTTTCATTTAGTGGTCAACCTGAAATGTTTCGATGATTATGAAACACAGGAGAAGTATAGTGAAACATTGTTACGAGACTACACATATTTTCAACAAATACAAAACCAACACATCCAGTGAAGAACTCATTCTCTGTCACTCCGATTATCGAGTCTCGATTTTCAGTTGACCACCACTGGAATCTATATACATACTGCATCGTGTGAACAATAGCTTACTGAGAGGACACCTAATCATATTAAAAAAGACCAACAAATTGCTTTTAATAAAGCCATTAAATATTTAGAAGTATTAAAATAATCATTTGACAATTATCAATCATCTGAGACATCGTCAATCACCATGACTGGATAAACTGTCCTTCCCGTTCAAACCGAAAACTCTATCGACGCTAATAGATGATTGGTTCCGATCCTTGGACCACGTTCCTTTCTTTCTTGATTATCTCAACCGACAACATTCCAATATATCTTTCACATATGACAACGAACACAATGGCAAGCTCCCTTTTCTTGATGTTGAGATATTATATACGCTCCAAAGGTAAATTTACGAACTTCTGCATGTTTCTCGCAAATTCATGTTTACTTTCAGGTCTTTTCGCCATTTTCCATAGCTCTTTATAGCTACCACTTAATTACAAACGCTGCTTAATATCATGCTTACTCTATCGCATCTTCAATCTCTGGTCATACAAACATATACAAACATTACCCACTGGCTTAAAGTGAACATAATTATTGATTGGAGATTACCGACCGACGTCGCGTTCAACCGACCACCTTGCCGAAACTGGGGGTGGCGCCCCCTGCATGTACACCTGCCCTTCGCATTTGTTTCACCGCGCTGTCCGCAACTTTCTCGACAATACTTTTGCTTAGGTTACGACGAAATGTCACCATGCATTAAATATATTTTTATACTTTTAAATCGTTGAAATCGTCCTAAATGGCTTTATTAAAAGCACTATGTTGGGCTTTAATATTTATTAAGCTATGACTGAATAAAGATCACAGATGTACTAAAGATTAATAATAGTAATACCTTGCTTTTGATCTCGAAGCGGGTATTCTCAGATGGAAGTGAAGATGATAACTGATGGCCAGCTAATGTATGCCGTAGCGACTTGTTTCCTGAATTTGTTAATCCAAGTGTTGTTTGAGACTTCACTGAATTGGGAGTTTTCTTCACTGAACTTTGATTTCTTGCTACAATATAAAATATGAATTTAGTTTTCGTTGTGCGGCTGATGTGATGCCGACACGATATCGTGGCGACAAAAATTTTCAAAACCTCGCAGTGAAAACATATTTGCAATGAGATAACTGCATGTGGATGGGAAAATACAGCGAAAGATGCACGATTATAGTTTTCCTAAAACTACCATAAATAATACACCGCAAACCTGTTCTTTAATGTTACTTCCAAAAGTCACCGCATACCTCTGAAATATTGGTTTTTATTCTCTCCTAGAGACTCGTTTGTTCCAGATTGTCTGTACGCAACGTGATTATGATTGTCATATGAAACAAGCCGTTCTTTGAGATTGTTGAGGCAAGTCAGACAGTCATCTGAAATCCATAACCAATTCAAGGGTCGACCACCTAAAAAAGATAGATGGGAGCAAAGTTTAAAATGTTAAAAGTGTCGTGAAAAGCCACCCAGAGCCGGTAAAAGGAAAACAATTTGCAATCCAGGTCAAAAATGAAAAACACTTTCTAAAAAACTGCTGAATCAACCGCCGGATTGTTCTACTCTATATACAGGGCGATAGTCCTTTTCGTATCACACATGCAGAATGTACGTCATGATAAATCATAGTTACGCCTAAAATATTAGATCATCGTCTTGAAATACAAGAATGCACAGGTAATCTACGAGATTATCAGACGAAAGTCTCAATGAAGGGACCAGAACATGTTAGGACTGGGGTGAGCTTGTTAAAAAAGCTCGATTTCTTTGCTTCGTTCATTTGAGAACGAAAACTGTTTTACGTGAAAGACATTTTTTAAATTCGATTTGTTTTGTTTTGTATTTTTAACTGTTTTTTTCCCATATCAATTATTAGGCTCAAAAAATGCTGAGGAGAATATTCAACTGTACAATAGAACCATTTGTTGATCAAGAAGCCTGTTTTAAATCGAAGTGCACTCGTGCATGCGCAAACAGTGCATTGGTGGGTAACTAAAAACCTTTTTACGCGAAGTTTGTTTTCAAGACGGTCAATGCTGGGTATCAATAACTCAATAACTTGTTCTTAACAACTTGTTTCCAGAATTACATAAAAATTAAATGTTTCCCAAAAAGGTTTTCTAGAACAACAAAATGAAATGGTCTTGAAAGACTACCACACAGAAGCAAAATTAGCGAATATCAAATATCTTATCCTGTAGTATTGGTAGGTTTCAGAAGGCATTTTAATTGACGAAATTAAGACTGTTAATTAAAACTTTTCCAGTAAGCAAGGATACTGTCTTTATAGAGTATTCATGGCACTAAACGAACGGTTCAAAAGATTTTTGCATTATTACCTGGGACACTCAAAGCAAATATTTGTTTTCTTCGTTTCTGTGAAAACTGCGACAATTGACAGAGATCGTTAAAGGCATGGTACTAAAGAAATTCATATAAAGACAATACAACCCTTGCATGATTACTATAAGAAAAACAGTCGTTTGAAATATAAAGCGAAGTACATTTGCTAATTTCGATAGGGTGAGGCCGTGTTAATTCTTTCAAGATTCAGTAGCACATACTAACCTTGAGTAACGGAACAGTCTGGCATTTCAACGCAACAGGAAGAGTTTGATCAGAAACGTCAGTAAATGTTGACTGAAGTGGAAATCTAAGAACCTGAAAACGGTAGGAAAACAAGACATTTAGCAAAATAAACTACAATAGCATGATTTCAAATTGAACACACCTTAATAATAACCCCATTGGTTATTGATCTCCAAATAATTTTAGTTTTTTTAATACATGCAAGCCACATATGACATATAGAGCTGCCAGGGTAATTTATGCTGCTGTACGTACCCTGCATGGATCCCCCAAAGTTTAAGCAAGTAAATAATCGACAAGATGCTTAGGGCAAATTCTAAGGAAATCTTATCTTATCTTTCCTGGATGATTTTCAACATCTAACATACTTACATTTTGTAATTACCACTTATTGTGATATCATTGTATATTGAAAAAAGGCAAAAAGTCCCCTTGCATGTATATTTTTACTTTGCCAAGCACAATTAATATCAGTTATAAGCTATGAAATAACTAACCTCTGTATGAATTATTCCAAACAATTTATTTGTCAACAACCAGATGTAAGGAATTACAATTCCAGATAAGAAACAGAACCAGAGGAAACGAAGGTCAAATAGGCGATAGAAAGAATCCAAACGATTAATTTGACTGAAAATAAATTTTTGCAAATATGCCTAGATTACAAATCTTTAAACATACTTGTCTTATATATGACTAACAGGGCCTAACTCGGATGACTAATACTGTCTTTATTTCCACAGTTTCACAACAGGAATAAAATTATGGACTCCTTTTGGTAAACAATGTAAAACCAATTAAAACTGGGTGCTTAACACTACCGGCTGATTTCATGTCACATCCGGAGTCGTGTATCATATAAAGGTCCCTAATATAGCTAACTGGTGACTTCATGTACAAACTTGATGTGGGTTTCCAGGTTATAAACTCTTTATTTAATTACAATTTTTAAAGCAAAATACCTATCATGGTCAAGTCCAGTAAGCAGTTGAACAATTTCGTTTGCACAAGACCCTGAAAAAAATAGTATGAAAATGAAGCATTTATATACATGCATGGATAGAGATATAAATGAAACTATTCTTAATATAAAACATGAAATCAATAAATTACTATAGCACAAAAATTATTGAATATATTTACCGAAACAAAAAAACAAAACAAAGCCAATCTGAATGCTCTAGAAATGAAAGTAAATTCAATAAAAATCTATAATAGATATTTTCAAAAATCAAGAGAGGGAAGCTTCTTTATAAATAACTATGCACGTCAGAAATTAATTACACAAAATATGTCATAGTGTCGTATCAAACACCCTAAAGCGTTGCATGCAGTGGTTGCAAGAAAACCTTTTTGCTTGTACCTTGAAAGAAATGCGAATAGCTTGCCACAAACAAGGAACCATACATGCTTTTACTCTGAAAATCCTTTCTTGCTAAAATAAGATATTTAAAAGATACTCTTTCAGTACATGACAAAAAGTGCGGAGACTTCCCATAAAATGAAACATGTGACATTATTGTGAACCAGCTGGAGATTGAATGTGCCATTATCGTATTTTTCCCAGAAAAAAAATGCAATTTTAATGTTTTTTCTTCAATATTATACTATATCATGTTATTGTAAAGCTATTGAAAGCAGAATTTTATTATATTAATTGTACTTCTGTCTTTTCTATGCATATAGCCTTTCAATTAAAAGTAGTTGTTTCAAAACATTGAATCATGCATTCATGAGCTTTGGGTATGCATGCAGAGAGGTACTCTGAAAGCTATATGACTCCTTGCCCTTGCTTGCAAGAAAAAAATAATTGGACTCAATATAATCATAATTTATTACATCATGCTAACCTGAACAACCGGAAATATTATATGGTGATGTTTGTCTTTAAAATACAAGATTGAATAGACAACTCCCTAAACATATAAAATAAAACATTTCATTGTTTCCACTTTGTCATAATTGTTGTGAGCAAATCATTCTCACCAATGGGAAATATTATATATATATATTATTAATTATATATATATATATATATATATATATTATATATATATATTTCTTTTCCTGTATTCAAATTTGTCATTGTCGAGTGCACACCAGACTGCACATGTGTAGCAGCAACATTGTAATGTATCAACCAGACATGTTCAGGATTAAATTACATTAGGACTAAATGGAAACCAAGCTTATAATTGCTAACAAGGTTAAAACGTCGCTGGTTGTTTTCATTTAAACTTTTCAAAATAACGAAACGGTAATGGGCTTATAGACAGAAATCTTCAACACCTATCCCCTTGTTAAAATATTACATATATATTTGACATGCATACTTACCAGAACACCACCAAAGCAATGAATGAACAAAGTAGTTTCATTGAGACACAACGAGATTCTACGGTCGTAGGAACTAAATCAAGTAAATTAATGCAATTAAATTTGTCTTGAGACTTCATAATTTTAAACATATTCATTTTAATTATCTTACATGGAACAGTTGCGTGTAAATACTCCATATTCATGATATGTCATCGATGTGAGCCAATGAATTGCAAAGGAGGCAGTAATCGTCGAGAATATCAAATGAGATAAATGTTTAACAGTGAAGAATGATTTGATCACAGAGAGCCTGGTTATACCCGTTTTTATTTCAACTAAATGTGTAGAGATAATTATTGAATTAAAAATTACCTACATAATTCACAGAAAATAAGTAAATTAGAGCTTACAGAAGTTTACATACCAGAGCATATTTTTATATTAAGCAAGATCACAGGAGTAACAGCAATGCCAAAGATGACAACAAAAACAAAAATATCCCAAAATGAAAATATCCTCAACAAAACATCTACAATACAATAGCACATACAAATGATTTTAATGGTTATAGAACATTGACAAATTTCATGATAAAAATTGCATATAATAATATTACAAATAATTCATATAATCAACTAAAACAGTGTTTACGTAATTATTTTGCACCTGTGATCCAAGTGAGAGGATGTTGCAGACTAAACAAAACCAGAGTCAAATACAAAATACAGATTGCAGGTAGAAGACATATGAACCACAAGAAGCTGATACCATTTCTCCATAAGAATTCCTGCAAAAGATGAAAATCCCCCTTTTGTCAAACATTTTACAGATAAAAGTAAAAACTATGTTAGTAACAGCTAATACTATACAAATAAAATTATTACTACTTATTAACTGATTGTGTTAATTTTTCACACAGCACTCAAACCTGATACCGATACCAATTTTAAATGAAATCATAATTTAATTAATTGATCGAATATAGACGATGTCATACATTTTGAATATATTTATTATTTTTACTCAAAATCTACCAATAAGGCAAATATCGGCCTGATACCAATAACCAATTATCGGTCAATCACTAATAATTACTGGTTGGCTTTGAGCATGATTGCAAGAATTGTCAAGGAAGAGGGTGCCATTACTTATTGCAGGTTGATACAGATAATATATGCTAACCAAGGCTATGATAATTCTCAATATCACATGAGAAGTAACTTAATAATCATTTCATTAATCTAATTCTCTCTATCAATTGTAGGCATGAGCCGCATGACATCATTACTACCATTAGATGGATCTATTGGGTATTAGTAAATATGAGTCATAACTACAAATAGATAATACATACGGTAAATACAACACACTGTAGAGAACATGCGTGCTTACTTTATGAGAAAACAATATTATTTCGTCAGCCGTTGATCTCAGTTTTTTAACTTCAATCCGACGAAAATTTGTCGATGAACACATCAGCACATCATCCTCTTCTTTTGCAAAGAAGTCCATAATATATGAAAAATTGCGAGGACTCTTTTATATTATGAAGAACTTTAAAAAAGTAGTTACTCCTGTTCAAATTAACCGCATTCTGTTCGCCATCTTGGTATCTCAGATGGAATGTTCTGATTGGCTCTGACACTGAATGTGTCCAGGCCACACACAGCATCTGTGATGACAGCATCTGAGGCAATCTAATTTTGAGGCGACAGGTCGGCGTTATATGCCACAAGAAAACCAGGCTTAACCGACGGCCGCGATGGCTATTGTCGGTGATCACTGATGAACGAAGTGCTTTGTTATTTTAAATAAACTTTCTTCGTCATGCACCGGGCACAAACAATACATCGCCGACTGACGTTGAACATATGAGAAACAGTAATTAAGCTTGTAGGTACGTGGTATGTGGTGTACCCAAGCTTAATTACTTATCGATTGTCACCATGCAAACGTACAACAATATTATTATATGAGAACCAGTGTGTAAAGTTGTGTATTTTAATACAAATGTATACACAGTAAGAAAATATTTCGTGTATACAACTGCGATGACTATGCAAACAAGTATACTGCAAGGTGTTTTTTCGAATTTCTATATTCAGTTTAATACTGCAAAAATTACAAGCAACCTACGACAGTTGGACGAAATCAGCAAACTTATATTACATAACAACACGGTTACTGTAGAAGTTTCAACGACAAATGACTTTACTTTACGTTATGCACATCTGATAAATGCAATCTGGTTTTACGTACAAAGTCCAAAAGGTAATTAGGAAATATTCATTTATAGAAGGTATGGAGATTGGATTGATACTCTAGAAAGGTTTTCCGCATATGTAGAACAGGCTTCATTTATATAAAAAACATTTACGTTTTTCAAGTGATGGAATATCGCTGTCAAAAACTGACTCTTGCACACGACTGCAGAGTAATGTGTATTCAATCATCCACATCAAATACTCTCTTTAAATTGCAACCTCACTCCTCCCTAACTTAGAATTTTGATGTAACAACAGCAAAATATGCATATCATCAATCGACAGATATAATAAAAAACCACGCGTCCATGCACCAATTCGTACTGACGTTATTATTTCCATTGCTTCTTCACAGACATGTTTCGTTCAGAATCTTTCTGCATGATCTAAAGAAAAACAGTAAACCACTCAGTAAAATAAAGATTTCAATTATCAGCACCTTGTGTTGTTGAAATTCAAGAAAAAAATGTCGATCATGTTTCGACGCAGTTGCATAAAAAATGTTTAAAACCTAATAACCAAAGTCTTGCAGACATCAATAGAGCTCTCGGTTTGTTAACCCGGGCCTTCACTTCTCTAGATAGAGAATGTCTAAAACACCCTACATTTAGGGAAAAATTCTACATGCACCCATGCCATGATCTCGCAAAATGTTTTACGTAGTGTATGGAAATGCTAGGACCAGGGAAATGCTAGGACCAGGGAAATGCTAGGACCAGGAAAATGCTAGGACCAGGGAAATGCTAGGACCAGGGAAATGCTAGGACCAGGGAAATGCTAGGACCAGGGAAATGCTAGGACCAACGAGCTACATAGTGCATGACCTAACTCTGACAAAATGGAAAGCAGTCTTAAGGCGGGTATCTCCATTTAGTTCAAAATGTCGCGCGATCAATTTTTTGCGATCGCTTTCTTTTGAAACGTATTCATACAAGCTCACCTAATGGGATTAGTTCTGCTAGACTGTTTGTATTTCAAAAGAAAGCGATCGCAAAAAGCCGATTGCGCGACATTTTGCACTGAATGGAAATCCGCCTTTACGACGGTGATAAAATACCTCTGTCGGCTAACATGCATTAAAAACAATAGACGTTCCCGGTAATTACGTCACAACTTCATTGCACGTTTTCAAGTGTCTTCGCTGAGGACCTTTTCCTAAAGTTCTTTCTAATGCATGCGTTTACGAAAGATGTTCTGCATGTGTTTAACGTGACGTAATTACCGACAGGTTTGTTACCTTAGACACGGCCATCTCAAAATCTTCTTGTGTCACATGAACTCTTCTCTCTCTTAAGGCGAACATACCTGCTTCTGTACAGACACCCTAGATTTGGGAAATAGCAGCATACAGGTCATATGACGATGTACTATATTTAATGTTAATGTAATACTTTTTGCAGCAGTGTTGGAACTTAAAAAAATTACCTTTACTTCAGCACCAGATGCTCCAGGCATCAATTCGGCAATTTTTCGAAGATTTATTCCTCTCGTTAAATTCATCTTGCGTGAGTGAATTTTCAAGATATCCAAGCGAGCCTATTATAAATATTGATGTTAATAATGTTAGATGCATGTCTGTTATTTAACAAGCTGCGAAGAAATAAATATTTTTAAAAATCTAAAGAAATCATACCTCTTCATTCGGTGCAGGAAATTCAATTTTTCGATCAATTCGGCCAGGTCGTAGTAAAGCTGCGTCCAAGATATCTATGCGATTCGTGGCCATTATAACCTACAGAGTACGAAAACTTAAGGTATAATCGCTTCGATATTTTCTCAGCCTCTCAAGTTTAACGCAATCGAAAAATCATGAACGCCAGAAGTTCCAGAACTCAACCTTGATGTTTTTGGTAGCCTCAAATCCATCTAGTTGGTTTAGCAATTCCAACATTGTTCTCTGTACTTCACTATCACCTACAAATCAAAGTTTACTGCATCACTTGCGGTCCTGCACTCAATGCTCTGGATACAGTGGTTAATAATTTAACATGACATTTAGAAAAGCTTCACGCACAAGACAATTAAATCACGAATGCACTCTGTATATTTACTACACATGCAATGAAAACATTGTCAAAAAACAAACCTGATCCACCAGATTCAATTCTTGAAGATCCGATTGAATCAATTTCATCCATGAAAATAATTGACGGAGCATGCTCTCTGTAGTCGTGTCAAATGATATAAAGTATTATCTCTTCTTCATATGTTAGCAAATTGTACTAATGTTTTATTTTGTACTTTGTTCCTTTTTCAGAATTAATTGTTAAATGTCTTTACCTGGCCATAACAAACAATTCTCGCACCATTCTAGCACCCTCTCCAATAAACTTCTGAACTAGTTCAGACCCTATATAATAATAATGATGATGAAAACTTTATTTATTATATCTATGTGTTGCATAATTACATTAATAAACTTTGATTTTTAACATCTAGTTTATCGTCGATTACTTGAATGATACATACATAAACTGTATACATTGCAACAATCGATATTACATTCTGATCATTTATCTTAAAATTTTAATATTATTATAATAATCATAATAATAACGTGTCTAAGTTAGAGAAGTAAAAAATTCTATTAACAATAATTGCTGGTCAAGGCCTTGTTGTGGAACTAACCATTATACAAACCAACTATACAAACCATTTTCTTGGACAAATAGATTACAATTATAAGGATAAAAGAAATGAATTTCCAACCTGAGACTCTGATGAAAGTACATGCAGTATGATGAGCCACAGCTCGAGCAAGAAGAGTCTTTCCTGTGCCTGGTGGACCATACAATAGCACACCCTGAATATAAAATAAAATTGATATGTATTTTAAATCAATATTAAAATTTTGGGCTTACAGTACTTTGCCAGGCTTCCAGTGGTGTGGTGTAACTTACATAAAATACTCTAGCGAAGCGCAATGCGATACAATGCTATTAAGTCAATCTTAAAGATTGTTAGTAGACAAAGCTGATGAGGTTCTTGCCGGGACCACAGGCATGACATTTGCTCTGAAAGTTGCTTAAGAAAAACAAGTTTTCTCCCTGTCTGGTTCGCTCTCACTCGCAAAGATCTAGCAAAAGGCAACACAAAATTGCGCGAGAAATTTTTCTAGTTTTCTTTCTAGAGCTAATTTGTCAATATAATTTTGGGCCGCCTATGGATCTAGTGATCTTAATTTACTGGATCGTCAATGTGTACCACAAGCGCGAATTGGGTTACTCCAATACAATGTTATACGATGTCGATAGATGATATAGTACAATACTCAACAGTACCATGATGCAAATGCACTTCTTTAACACTAAAGCATTAGAATACTGTGTTCACCAATTTCTTTACAATTTGTATCACATTAAACCAGATCAATTCAATTTAATTCAATTTGATCATTCAATACATATATTCAGACTGACTAATTTAACAAGAGCTAGGGTGGGGGGGGGGTGTCACACCCTTATGTATATCCCTGGCCAGCATACAGCTCAGCTGATGTTTTCGTATTATCAATATTATACTGTACAAGTTAAAACAAACCTTGGGTTGGTCGATCCCAAGTGCTTCAAATAATTCAGGATGTTTAACAGGTAGTTCAATTACCTAAAAAATTACAAACTTACATTCTACAGTAAAGCTACAAAAGTCATGGACCAACAATAACAAAACATACTTCTTTTATTTCTTTAATCTGTTTATCCAGACCACCAACCATTTCATATGTAGAGTCTGGGACTTTTTCAACCATCATCAAGCTTACTAAAGGATCAACCTTGCAATAACAAAGATATACTGTAGTATCATAACAAACATTTTGTCCACATAGCTTAGTCTTCTAATGTATGTACATATATTGTATAACTGGGAATTTGAACATACCTTGTTTGGAAGAATTTTATGTAAGGTATAACTGTCATTTCTTAAAGCAACACGAGAGTTGGCTGTGACCTGAAACAATAATAAATACTATATATTCAAGAATTATACATGTCCATTTAATATTATTACTGGGAAACAGGCTTTGCACAAAAGTATTGGATTTTCCATAAAAAACCAAATATCTTGTGTATATATCTAGTGAAAGCAAAAGAGGAATACATACATCATTAATATCAATAGCTTTATCTAAATCAACCACAAACTTTCCTTCAGGATGAACCTGAAATATTAAACCAAAAAGCATCATAAATATCCTATTTGATATATGAACCAGATGTGTGTATGCAATTAAACAGAAGGGTTATGAATTCTGTTCATCACCAAAATGGTGATGGGAGGAGTTAACAATTTGACAACAAAAAACTCTTTCTGGTATGACATATTACATAGATTAGCATTCATAGAGTGAGTAGCATCTAATGATGATTTTGATGTGCTCATTTAATTAAACTCAAATGATTTTTTTGAATTACTAAACCAAATACTCACCTTAACAAGAACTTTCTTTTTATCCATTGGCTTTACAACTTCACCCACATATGATCCTTGTTCCTGCAATAACTGCAATTCCTCTCGTAACATACGCACTGGAACAAAACATGAATTCAACATTGTGTCAAAATATCATAAACACTTGAACAGCATAAAAAAGTATTGTGTGAGATGTTTTAAAAAGGAATTTTAAAAGCCATTTTATAGTATAAAATAAATAAATTACCTTTAGCATTTAATTCATTTCTCTGTGCTTCAAGTCTTCGAAGGTTTTTAACCTTTTCTGTAACTGTCAGCTGAGGAAAATTCAATCAAAGTATTTTACAACTATGACATGCATTGATTTAATTATTTAAAAAACACCTACATTATACAGTACCCAACTAACTGCTAACGCAACTCTGAAGTCATCCGAAAGAAACTACTTTCACTTTTGAGAAAAGGCACTTCTTAAGATGATAAATATGCATAACTTTATTTTGAAACAAAAATAGGTATTGTTTACAAACAAATGTAAGAATATAATCCATGCTTCATAGGGTCGAAAAGTGACACAACCACCAAAAACTCATGCAAAACAACATTTACTACTCTCCTGGTTTCCAAATTGTAACATAGATGGAATAATATGACTGACTATGAATTCAATTCTCTTCCAGAATGAATGAACTTATATCTGCAATTTTAACCCAAATTTTTATTGCAACTAAAGACGTGAAAGGTCACCTGAAGTTCTTCAATTTTTGTGACATAGTATTGCTGAATTCCCTCATGGCTTTTATCAATTTCAATCTCCATCTGAAAGCATATAACATCCAAATGTGCCTATTATATTATATGCAATCAGTTACAAATAATATCCAATTTTAGACAATATGTTTATACCAATACACTGATCAAAATTATCTGTTTTTATCTATAGCTATTGAACCCTATATTTTATTTTATTATATATTTTGTAATATTTTATTATATTATTATTATTATTTTGGCTATTTTATTCAACAATTATGTCATTCACTCCAGCCATCAGGGCTCTCACGATGTTTTGAACAACCTGAGACAAAAAAAAATTGAGTATATTATATTAAATATACCTCCCTCCCCTTGAAAAAGTCAAACTTTTCTAAGGAAATTTCCTTAGAAGTGAGAATGCTGCCAACCATATACAGCTGAGATTATAATGTTAACAATGATACCATTCACTCTCATCATAAATAGCTCAGCTTCTGCTCAGCTTTGCCTTGTTGGCTATCAAATCTTACTTCACAAGAGCTTATATTATAATCATTGAATATATGTTTTATTTTTCACAAACAAAAGTAATTGTGATTTCTAAATATTCACGTTAGTGTGATTGAATAAAAAAATTAGACTTTGTTGGTCACACTTCTGTCTACATCTCAATAAAACCAGGGAGCAGAAAATACCAGATTTGATGCAAAATTTTTCTGACCACATGTTACATAGTAATGACTTGAAGTCATGTCTCAAACATGATTTCTGATAATCTGATATATGTACCTTCTGAAACAACTAAGATATAAGTACATTATATGACGTATTAAACGTTAGAAAAAGTTTCAGAATGGTTAATCAAGATCTATAAATAAATTCATTATTAAGCTAGAAAATCACGTGTAGTTGAAAATGAAATATGAAATCAAAGTTATATGACCGGTTTAAATCAATCATACATCCGTACATCTAACGTACTATAGACGTACTATGGTTACTAAATTTGACAAATAAAATCAAGAAGCCGTGAAATAAAACTAAAACACAAACTTTGTAATTTTTATTTAATATATTTCAAGTATTTTTATACGTTTACTTTGTATCTTACTGACAGAAAATATTTACCTTAACTTCTTTGTTGCTTTTAGCTTTTGGTAGATCATCATTTTTCAAAATATTTCTATTCTCGCTATTAAAAGATGAAATAACAGAAAGGCCAGCCGCCGCCATGTTGGAGAAACTTGATCACTCCCAGCATGCATCGCGCAACACTCATTTTGATTGCGTAATAGCCACTGAGCTATATAATAATTCCTGGAGGACCGGTTCTTGACCAGAAAGTGAAGCAAAAAACATGGCGGATTTCGGCGTTTGCTGACGCCACTTGGTTCCTTTTGCTCATGGTAGTTACCACTGACATACCGCGATACAAAGTGAGAAATTGAGTCCGTCTCCCTCCTGGATTTTATGAAAATATTTTCAGCTTTCCGTATATATTTTTTGTTTTTCATATAAAATGGATAAAAGTGTTTCTCTTTTTCCCTATTCAACAAATGGAAAGGACACGTAGCTTCGTGCTCTGCGTCTGACGTTGTGAATGGCTTATTTTCACTTATCGGTAGGGTGAATTTTCTCATTTTGCTCTTATTTTATAACATCCAGGTATTAAACTGAGGTAAGCCGTTTTTCAACTTTTTTACTATAAACAATTTCGTTTTTGGCCTTTCGAGTTGGACTATAGTATAAACTGGTTACCAAAGCCTCTGAGACAATAAATCCATCAAAAGGTTTGGTACAAACAGTCAATGCAATGTTATATACCCAAATTTTATCATTTTTTCTTAACTTGTGTGGGGAAAAAATTATATTCCTGGCAGTGTCAATCTTTTGAGTTTGGTCTATGTTGTTTTCATGATAGCAAACATCAATGCTAATAGGTAAACCATTCCCCCAGTGAGTCTACTATAGTCCCTCTTCTATTGATCCCACCCAGCATCAATTAACATGATCTGAGGGTGCTAATACAAAATAAAAAGATGCTGTAAACAGTGTAAATTAATTCCAACCTTTGATAGTGAGCTCTGTTAAAGCCTAGTTAATATATTATCTTGTTTACTTTGTCAAATCCAAAGTGAAATGATCAATTATAATGGCTTTTAATTTATTTTTTAGCTTCTTGCACCTTGGGAATAAATCTTGATTATATCTCCATTTTTATTTTTCAGGATGAAGTTCATGCATTTTATGACTGTGCATTGTTATTTTTCATTTCCATGTTATCTGATTTGTTGTTGGCTGGTGTTCTTATACCATTTGTCATATTTATTAATTAATGAAATAAATATAAACATGCATTGACTGAGCAGTGTGTCTTCAATCTGCAGCAACGTTTGTAATTTTCTGTGTATGGTATCAACCTCTAAGAGGGCTATATTCATTAGGCTAATCAGTGGAGCCTATGGAGGGATAAATGTTATTTTTTCTATGACCAGGGGTCCAGGGATGCAATTAGAGAATGCTGAAAACAGGTTTATTAAGGTACAAGTTGATGACTTGAATGAAAAGTATATTATGCAAATATGATTCTTGGTTGAAATTATATTCCTGCACTTAGTATTCGTCAACTGCCCAGCATTTTGCCTGAGCTATGGCCTCTGTTTCTTTGGATTTTGGATTGTGCATAGATATAAAGTCTTGAAGACAGCATCACATACTGAATACTGATTACATACTTCCTGCGCAATTCATCAGTTCAGGGTTTAGAAAAGTCAAATTGTTGCCCATAAATTCCTAGTTGTCTTCAAAATATGCGAGGATAGTGCCAAAACATTCAAACATTTGTAAACTTTCATATTGGAATGTATAAATAACAAAAATATTATTAAGACTAATAAAATAATAAACCTGTCAGTTCGTGTCAGTATTAAAATCTTTAGTTTGTCCACATTTTTCGATATTTTAATATATATTCGTTCCCGCACTGGCAAAAACAGCGTGTATGACTTGTATTCATCTTAAAATAAAACTTTATTAGATGTCAGTGCGAAAAATATCAACAAAACAACCAAAAAATATTTCAAAAACAAACAAGATTTCACGGCAAAAAAAATATAAAAACCAGGGGGGAGAAATGTTATTTACAAAAACCAGGGGGGAGAATACTGCTGTAGCGGGCTCATTATTGAGCCTGGTCAGTGGTAAATACCATGGCCAAAAGGAACCAAGTGGCGTCAGCAGAGCTTCTGCGGTTGCGCAGAAGGGCGAAGTCCGCCATGTTTTTGCTTCACTTTTTGAGAAAAAAACATTAGGAGCCGGTCCTCCAGGAATTATTATATAGCTCAGTGGTAATAGCCAATTATAGCCACTTAATGTAATAACCTCTCACAGGAACGTGAACAGCCTGCCCTGAAGCCAGAGTTATTTTATGATTGCAGTATATTCTTTAAGTCTCCGTTACCTTGGATTAGACTATTTCGGGCAGCCCTGTGTGATATAAATAATTAAACCTTTATGGTCTGGTCATCAAAAATCGACTTCTGGAGGAGTGGAAGTCGTAAATGCATCAACGCGACGGACCGTAACAACGGCAACGGTCAAACGCAGTCAAATCGTGATTCGTCCGCAATGGATATTGTCGGTGGTTATTGCCTTATTGGTGCATAAAATTCTTTGTCGATAGAAATAAAATATCTACTTCATTGCCATTGCATGGTCAACCTCAATCAATCATATAGAAGAAGAACGTCATTGCTTATCATTTTGGAGCGTTTTTATTTTCGAAACGATAAACTAGAAAAAAATCGTGTGAATCGTGTGCACATAGTAATAGCCTAAAATACTACACGGCATACATAAATACTACAAGGCCTCCCATACAGAACCAAATGCCTTAAAGGCTTAACTTAACTTTTTTTCTCGAACTTTTCATGCGCCGAACCTAATGTTAATGTTAATGAGCTACAGTATTTGTTTAACTACATTTACATTCGATTAGGCACATGAAAAGTTCGACGTCTGAAACAGGCCTTACAATATGTCTTAATAAATACTAATTTTCAAGAAAACAGCTCCGCCTTCAATCATTTTAATATCCTAGAATCAGTATTCTTGTTTCGTCTTCTTTCAAGTTTTCAACATTCTTTGACCGAGTCAGGCGAACCCTCATCACTCATCGCATTCTTTTTAAATATTTAAGATTAAGTTGGGGTTTCAAATACATCCAGCTCTACTGTTTTACTATAGCTTTACTGTAAAGCTATGTGAAGCTGCACTAAACTATCCTTTGGAACAGACGTTAGAGAAATGATCCCGAAAGACTCCTTGGATCTTTAATATTTCGATACTTGTACGCCACATAAACACCAAATATCTGTAAAAGAAATATAGCAAGGAGTGTTTTCGATTGCTCATGACAATGATATAGATATTGCTCTAAACTCGGTTGCGAGTAGATATGGATTTTATGTTCCAGTGGCAAGAAATCGTTTTTACACGAGAATATAAAATAAAATCCATATTTTCGACGACATAAGACGACAAGTAAGTAAGCCGCAAAAGACCATTATAAAAGCGAATATTTTTTAAATTATGGCCTAAAAATTAAAGTAGAATAAATTTTACTTATCTAAAGATGTCTTTTAAGTGTTTTCGTTTGTATTTCCAACGTTAGTTTCGTTTTATACACGAACCAAAGACCGGCGTATGAGTTCTACGAGTGTTTTAGTTCTCAGTAAAATACCCCCATCCATGTAATCAAAATAGCATATGAATTATGAAATGATAAAAAAACTCTCCCAAGCCCAAGGCTTTTTGTTGTCCGAGAGTAAAACATGGAGTCCTGTAAAAACATAGTCTGGACTAAATCGTTAATCTACTTTTTTCATTAGTGAAACAATGATATAAGTCATGAACCACAAACAACAACTGGAAAAGACAGTGACCATGCACATAAATAGTAAGAAAAGCTAATTGATCAGTTAAAGGCTAACTATAGCATCGTTATATTATAATTTAAAGAATTATTCATACCAAAGTAAAACTGAAAAATAACCCAACACCTCCAGCAACTGAGAGAACTTGATCAATAGAATCTTTGAAATATGCAAAACATGCTGGGCATTCATCGCAATGATTGTGAGTCTTTTTCTTACAGCAAGGAAGCTAAAAAAAGGAAAACATGAATGTCATAGGACATAACAATTGACTTAATATTTTGTTATTTGTTACTTCTGTGAAGTTTTTGTTCATTAATTGGAATAAATACATTTTGGGGCAAAGATTGGTAAATTATTGTACTGGGGCTGGTTGTTCGAAAGGCCTTTAGCTTAAACGTTTGATAAGCCAAAGTGTAAAAATATTCTCATGCATCTTGTGAATGACTGAACATACATCTTTCGTATTAAATATGCACTTCCATTGAAAATTAAACTATTTACATTGAAATTTTTTAGTTTAGTTATTCAATAAATTAATAATTTTTTTTCTATTTTGAACCTATCCACCGTTTAAGCTAAACGGGCTCAATACAACCGGCCCCAGTATGACAAAGTGACTGTCCAGCACAATTGTTTGTTTTGGCAGAAAGCCTTTTTGGTAATGTACAACTACAGCAGTAGGCGTGTAGTTGCTATTGGGTGCAACCAAATTTAAAAATTTCATTAGAATGACTACTTCATCACATGTTTGGAAAGTTGTTGTAAAACTTATGACATATCTATGCCAATCATCAAACGAATTGAGAGAACATATACCATTTCTTTTATTGTTAGGATAACATACATTTACAATTAAGCCCAAAGTTTGTCTGGATTGCATGTATAATTGACCTGGGGCCGGTTGTATCAAAGCCGGATATCGCTATCCACCGGATAGTGATTTTTTCAACCGTTCTAAAAATGCTCGAGAAGCGATAAAATTTCAGCTTAGAAGCAACAATTATTAAAGAGGATCTTCGATTTAGGAATACTAAGATTTAATCAAGTTGTAGCAAATAACGGGCGATTTTGAAGCGATTGAAAAAACCACTATCCGGTGGATAGCGCTATCCGGCTTTCATACAACCGGCCCCTGGTGTTAATTCTTTCTAAACAATCTTCATAATTATATGTTTCTATAACATCTTATCAGGAGCATAGCTGACCTAAAGATTTAATCCTGCTGTACTGAAACTTTGGTGCTCATTAAAGTTCTGTGAAAACCATTATTTTCTAAAGAGCTGGACTAAATTGTCAGGCTGACTACCCAACTGCATCTTATATTAATAATAGTTGGGAACAGAATATTATATTTTGGTGCCAGACACCTGTTATTCATAGGCTTGCAATAGGAAAGCCAATCATTAGAAAGGTGACAAAGAAGATGAGAATATTATTGTTAGTTGACTAAACCACATGCCATATCAATGTCTGAAACCTTACTTTCACACAGGGTGGATGAGACATGGTAGTATTTGCCAAATCTGCCAAAACATGAAAACCACAACAATTTCCTGCAACTTGAAGTTCATCCTTTGTTTGATTCCCCAGACGTTGCCAACTCGATCTTAATAAGGCTTCTTGCTTAGCCGGAGGCACAGTCAGAGCAGCAATTGATACGGAGAGTAGGAAAATGAGAATGCCAGTGTTATCATGTACTAAATCATGTTAAGAAATACTACTACGTTGTGAAGTGTACTGGGTAAAACATATACTGTGATTGCAATAAACAATGGATATCAGTAGCAGCTAGTATGCTGGGGGGCAATAGCTAATCCTTCTCAAATTCTTTGATTATGACCTAATTAGGTACCAAAAATTCTCAGATATAATATACATAGATATAAAATAAAATGGATACAAAGAATAGGATAACTAGTTGATGCCTTACTGCACCAATAAGACCAAATATTGAAATAATCAGCAAGAAAACACCACATGCTACCACAGCACCCAATATTGGTAGACTAGTCAACACAGCTGTGATCTTGGCATAGACAGCAATGCATATTAACAGAATTGCAAGAAACTAGAAAATAATTAAATTATACAACCATTAATCTATGTAATAATATTATATATGTCATAATTTATTATTTCTCAGCTGGCTAGGTAAAAATTTATCCAACTCTGTGTCACCTATTTTTTGTCACATAAAATATCTGGAATGTTACCACAGTGAATTTTAATATAAACAGGGTGCAACGTGGTAGCGTCTTCAAACAACTTAGCATCAAATATGGTATACTGTAACAACTGAAATTTGGAATTTTAGGTTTAAAATCACAAGCCATCAAGTCATACAGCTCAACCAAGGCTGTGAAGTAATTAGAAAGACAGGGAGGGGGTATTGTGGGGCTTGTTCCTGATTGAAATGATTGTCAAAGGCAAAAGTATAGAAAGCAGAGTCATATGAAAAGCTAATCATATTGGTATCTTTATTAAAACTTGAGCTGATAATGGCTAATTGAAATTTGATTAACTGAGATTTATAGGAACCTGAAATTAAGTAGTTGACTAAAGCAACCTGCACACAAAATATTTTTAAATTTTATTTGAACCTCCTAATACTATGAAACATTGTAAATCAAAATGACATCTCATTTGTCCTCAGGAAAGACTAAAGAGGTTCAGGTTGGTTGTTGGTTATTAAATGAACAGCCCATGATTCACACTACATTTCAATTTCTTATTTTTAAACATCATCATTAAACTGAAACTATTATAAATTGAAGAGATATAATCAAATGAACATTTATATACTTACAATGTAAATAACATTTAAAACAGCCAGTGAATTTTTTGAGCTATAATAAGCACACGTTTTAAGACCAGGTCGTTTTTCTATATACATATCCAGAACTTTAGAGCACTTCCTTCGTAACGATTATCTTTAAAGAAGAATCAGGAATCAAATATGCACCATCAAAGAATCCTTTTTTTCGTGGACATACAATTATATGTATTGATTTTGTGAAAATGAAATATTTATTATTTATAATAGCCAAAATACAAGTACAAAACTAGTACTAAAGTGAAGCGTATAGAAGACCCATGTAACATTAAACTTGATTGGTTCGACATTGACCTGTGTAATAGCCAATCAAATTTCGTGTTACTGATGCACTGAGCTATATATAGCGACTCCACCAGCCATAGTATGCACCAGCATTCCGCATAAATAGCATGGCTTGGGAGCACATAGAGATCAGCGAAAATATTGTCTAATTTGTCTTTTTTCTTTGGTTATGAACGGTATGACATCTGTTAGCAGTTGCGTAACGCAACCGTTGTGCCACCATCCCTCCCATCCCTCAATCGTTCATTTTTGGCCCCCTCAGATACGCTAAAATACAAAATAGGACCCATTTGTCTACCAAAATAATTAATTCCAATATTTTATGACGTTGATATTATGGCTTCAAAGAATCCTAATGGCATTTGCCATACTAAAGTTCAAAGTCTGGTCTTTTAGTCCTACTGTTTTGTAGTTCTAATTATTTTTTGTACGAGGCCCCTATGTCTCGAAGCCCCCCGTCTCCGACATTTTAAACCAAACGATATTTTTAGGGTTAGGGTCAATCCTGTGAAGTTGAATAGAGGTGTACGATTTGAGGAGTCGAGGAATAATTGGTGACAAGTCGAGCAATTTGTACTCATTTATTTATCATCCGCAAGTCTATCATCAGTATCATGTTAAAATCAGGTACACTGACGTTTATTTCACTACCTCCAACCAAAATTTATCCCAGTTACATTATACAGCGCCTTGTTGTATGGCTTGAAAAATGCTCTTAGTTTCATTTCAACGTCCACGTCAATCTTTGGATGAGGTCTACCCTTGTTTGAAGAAAGACATTTTGGATTTCCTTTACGGTCTACAGGACAGTAAAATCTTTTCGCTTTATTATAGTAAAAATGTTCTTGTGTGATAAAGTCTTCAAGTTCCAGACATTTTTCTAACTTCTTCGCAACGGGATATGGATTTTTGGCAAGACGGTCACCGTCAACAAAACACATTTGACTCAAATCAAATACTTTCAGCCAATTTTGTACGTGATAAGAATAAGCACTTGTATTTACCTGAAATAATTCATAATAAACGTCACCTCGTTTTTCGGTGGACACTAAAACCTAACGATTTCGAAATAGAAATACGTGACGTTCTTACAGCTATTTCTGGCGCACTGGGACCAGTTGTTTAAAAATTAACCGCGTGTTTGGATCAGGCCATCCAAACACGGAAACCATTAAGTAATTGTATAGCGACAAACATTCTTCGAGGCATTTCACGTCCCCAGTAACACGGTCACTCCCTGTGACACATTCCTAAACACCCCCCACCCCTAAGTCTAAGGACTGTTTTCCCTAGCCCAGGCATTCAAGTTTTTTTGCTGGATATTCTCATCTTCGATTCCATTGGTTTTGCCCTGTGATCATTAATACACAAATCTTGGTATTACAAGATGTTCTTCGGAGTGTGATTTTCTTATGTTTCATCATAAGGTGAATATTAAGGGACGGTGGTTAGTGTGGTAGAATGATTAAGTGAGGTTTTTGCTTATCGCTATATTACACTACTGACCACAATGACTATGACATTTAGCTTTACGGTTTTACCTGAGCACGGAGATTGTCAACGTGGCCGGAATTCTTGATAGCCAGTTTTTCAAAACTACGAATGTTTTTCCCTTCAGATTGTAAATACAACTTCCAGTGCAGGTATTCAGAAACTGTTCGAGTGAATGGGTCTCGTAAAACAACAATAAATTTAATGTCCCTACTGCGACCACATCTTTCAATTGCTTTCTTCAATCGTATAGCTGCAACTGGTTTAATTATATAATCTGGACTCTTTTCTATTGTTATCTGAGTTGACGTTGTTGGTGGCATCCGTTTGGTGTAGGCGTTCACTCCCAATTTGTATTTCGCGTCATTTGAGAAGAAGCGCAGTTCATTGGGAGGTCCAACAACCTTGGGGTTAAGGCGAATTATTTGATACAGAGCACGTGTTCCTGCCTTTCCGAAACCAATTATTATAATGTGAGGAAATCTATGGGCCAAAGAGAAATGGCTATTTTTTATTGGTATGTCACACTTTTGACTGAATCGTTCCGATGTTGAATCGATCTCTAATTCTCCAGACTTGATGCACGAAATATTCTTAGTTGATGAAGTGCAGTTGTCAGTGTCAATGTCATTTGTTAAAGCAATACTATTCGATGAGTTTGAAGCTATTTTGACAGTTCCAATAAGAAATATAAGGAAGAGAATAGAGATTAATATAATCCTGATGATAAATCTTTTTGGAAAACGTCCTCGTAAAAACGCCTTTGCAAACGAAATTACAAACATCGGAATACCAAATACTCGACACAACAGTTTACAAAGGTTTTAATGCCTGCAAGAAAGACAATAACAGAAATGCTATTTATTTATTTGCTAAATAAATTGATCGATCTTTCTTTACTTACATTCTTTTAGAAACTGGAGACGGCAAACCAGAAACTAGGAAATTCTAAAGCCGAGGCTATTGTGTAGTGGCAAACTGCATGCAATAAGGCACCTTTTTAGGCCCCTTTGGGCGCCTAATGCGCATGCGCCCTACCGTGAACATAAAATAAATGATATGGAACTCTTAAGGAACAATTAAGGCAGTTGTTTAAACAAACATACCTCATATTCATTACATGACATTAGTGATCTCGAGTGATTACACTACGATGTGTTGTTAGCCTCCCCTGTTTTGTGCTTTTCTACACAAGCATGCCCTCAAACTTATTACACAGACGATAAATAAAAAGCATTTGATTGAAAAAGCATTAAATTGCCAACGTCATATAATAATATATGTTCGTCAACGTAACGATCAACAGTTATATGATTACCTTTCATTCTGACCACATATTAATGGAAGCAAAGATTAAAGACCAAAATTCTACAGCTAACTGCAGGAATTGTGTTTATGATTGTAATATTAATCTCTTACTTTCACAAGATGACACTGGCATTTTCATAATAAGATATCAGATATCATATTATATTCATGATGTGTATTTGTGCATATAATTATTCAATGTTCGGTAGATTCAATCATCGGCACCCTATAGTTACCCGATTAATTGAAGTCTTGAGTTTTAGTGATAGGCAATACCACCTTTTTTCATTCGATATGCGGATACCGCCATTTTTTCGATACCGATACTAAAGTCAGTATTTCTTGGCAAATATTTGAGCCGACAAACTCCTCTTCTCAGAACCGAGGCTTTCGTAGGCTTTCGTGTGTAAATGCGCTGTTACACTAGGCAATTTTTCTTGCAACTTGCGATGCGGTTATAATTTTGAGGGATGTTAATTCGTATGCTAAGAAGAAGTTAGCAGATCTTAAGAAATGTTCGTATTAGTCAACTTTATTTGCCTCAGGAGTAAATTTGCATTGCAAGATGCAAGAACCTAAAGAAAGTTGTATAGTGTAACAGTGCCTTCAGTATTTTAAAAAATGAGTACCTGGCAGACGGGCAGGAGTCAAACGTGTGCTGGTTGTCGCCATGCACCCCTATAAAGCGCCCCTTCCCGCTTCTACAGATGACAGGATATTAACCTCCGGGTTCGCGGCTCGGGATTCGAGTGAACCCCAGTGAAGCTTTTATGAAAGTTTTTACGTACATGTATAATATAGCCTAACATGCATACACTCAGTATCTTTGTGTAATGTGCATTTATTTAATCATATTTCAAAACCAGTTGACTTTCGTATAGTAAAAGCGTTTTTAACCAAAACTGATTTACGTGTAACGTGTATATTTTTACCCCAGTTTATTCCAGGGAGTGAGTTCAATTTTTCATGTTTGCTGACGCGCCGGTGTAGGCTGGTTGTTGATCAAATCAAATAAACGTACTTGTACGTAGAATCAATTACATTAACAGTATTTTGCCAGTGGTTGAAGGTTAGGCGATGTCTTATGTCATGCCCGCTACCTTTTAGAACCTTCCGTAGACGATGGCGAGACAAATCCAATTTGAAATGTCAGATAAATCAAGGAAGACTTCCTTTTGAAAAAGGCTTATTAACTGTAACTACACAAGGTGCACTAGAACAGTTTAGAACTGCCAGGTTACATGTGCATCAGTCGTTTAACAGGGTTGCGCGTTTTTTTAAAACATGTTTTCTAAAAACTCGCAGAGCAAAAAACGGCAATCTAAAAATTAGGCCCTCACAAATGTCTAGAAATACGGATCCTTAAAAGATTGAGGAAATTATTTGCACAAAATTCTTTCGACAGATAATATGGTAAAGAACATAAGTAGATTGGATTTTAGTTGATTTGCTTTTGACTCTTTATGGTTGCAATGGAAAATAGTTCCAGAACTTCTTATAGTTTGCATAACACAATGTAAATGTACGTATTAGTAAGTCAATTTATTGGGACAAATCCTTCAGTCAGTAAACTTATAACACGATCTACCAAAGGCAAATATAAATCAGTGCGAAAACGGGCTAAACCATGCAGTGAACTCTAGGCTAAACCGAGTGAGCTTGACGTAACGTTGGTTAAATCCTCTCTCTTACTAGAATCAGTGCAGACAAGGAAGATATAGGTAAGCCCATATTGCACGGATTTAAGCTACTGTCATATTTCAAATAGACTTTAAAACGTTTCCAATGACGTCAAAAGCCGCGAAAAACGGTGAAATACTAGAAGAAACTTGATTGGCTCAAAATAAGATAAGTGTTCCTCGAAATATTCAAACTGTTCTGAGCACTGACTCAAACCGTATATAGCTACATCATAATCGGATCCTTGTTCATGATGTTTGGAATTTTAACTGAAACGCGCTTGGGTTTTTTAAATCCTGCTCAACTGAACGTTTCAAAACCCTTTCAACTGACGCCCGTAAAAAAAAGTCACTAATTTCTTAATAATTCAAATAAGATTTTACCTAAACGGAAATCCACTCTTCCAAGTCGGAAATAACTACTCCATGGCATTTCTGTTCTTAATTGTAATCAGAGGATTTGAACTTTAATTTTCTGTTTTTTATTTACCAGAAGATGTCACAAAGTTCGTCTTACGTCAAACGATGGCACCACACTATTTTTTGTTTGTCTTGAACTAAGCCTAACGTTGAGGCACGTGTCCTTATAAGGCATGAAAGAATAACCATTTGCAAAGCTGGTGATTAAATCTCCAACAAGTATAATAATTCAGTATATTGTCTGAAATGTTAAACGAAAAATGAAAGCTGAGAAGACAGAGTATATGAGAAATACATAATTCCATATTGGTGGCATAAGATATTTTATCACCTTTAACCATCTTCCCGGATTTGCTGATACATATTTCACTCATCCACCTTTTATGACCATGTGTATCTCGACTACACACGTTTTTGTCAATATTGATAAGGCAGAACTTCATACGAAACTTATAAAGAGTAATGGTTTCAAGCCTCTGGACTTTAGCTATGGTTAGATATAGATATAGGAAGATATCTTATCATCGCCAGCATTCTGCTCAATCGCTTTGTCTATACGGTGAATTGATTAGTCATCAATCACGCGCCAGGCAACATAAAATGGTATTTTCGCCCATGTGATTTACTGTTCTTCCAAAATGTTTATACCCTTTAATTAAGTAAATGTATTTTAAAAAGAAAAATGTTTGCAGTTCTACCAACTTTTTTTCTGTTAATATCAACAATAATTTATTTCAAATGTCACTCAAAACTTTATTATTTTGTTCCTATCTCAAGAAAAAAAAGCCTTTTGAAATCATGTAATAAATGTAATAAATAAGCCAGTAAGTATAACCATATTCTTCTAAATGATAAATTCCCCTAATTCGGTATTAGATCGTGAAATTTGCTTTTAATCTAGGTTTTGATGGTGGATCTAAAATATAGTCAGTCAAACTTATCTCAATGAGTCACTGCGATGATGATGCAATAAGTCCAAGTAGAGGCCGACAAACCATCAAAAGTACAATTGCGCAATCAAGAAAAATTATTCGTGTTATTGAATGAATGTAAAAATGCATTTATAGCCTTTTGGAAGAGAGTATTTTGACGCAAATGACGTGTATTGACACCAGTTTATCATATTTGGATTTTGGATTAACATGTTTATCACTCTGGCGAAGCCGGACACTCCGTTATTTGCATTTTTTGGTCTTATATTTTATCAAACGTTTTATCCGTACAAATTGCGCATAAGCGAGTATTAGCACTTAAGAAGCTATCTAGCTACCATGCAAACTTGTGAGTAGGCAAAAATAATAAGAATTGGTTGCTGTAATGATGATCCTGCTAAAGTAACCTAACTCTCGCTGAATGACGTTATTCACACTGGAAACTTTCAAGCAAATCTCTCCACATCTTCACTGACTAGAAACCTTTCAAAAAGGTTTGTTACGTTAAAGACGGATTACTTCAAATAATTCAAATGTATTGTTCTAATTAATGGTTCTAATTAATCGACTTAATCACAGTCAATTACCGTGCGATTAACGCCATCCGAGACGATTTGTATATGTGAGATAATTAAAGCATTGTTTCGGTATTTGACAGATCGATATAATATTGCAACAGTTTATGTTCACTGTATGCTCACTAAACAATGACACTCAAGATTTCCTAATCCGTAAAGTGTTGATACGTTACACCGTAGACATACATGAACTACCAAGGATATAAAATCATGCTCAGACCGTTTATTAGAGATCCCGGCACTGACAAACATACTAGTCGGATGTAGGAATCGCTTAAATAAAAACCAGCTTGGATAAACAATGTTTCTCAAACTACAACAAGTATTGAAGTATGGATTTTTATATATCTTGCTGTTTGCTTCAACTACAATTAAATCATGCCCAATGGTATTGAAGGAGGGATGGAAACAACTGTCTGTAGTCGAGCGCGCAAGAAGAGCTAATGTGGTAGCAGTTGGGAAGTCAGTCACGATCCTCACCGATAACTCTCGGAATCGCACTTGGAAAATTGGAGGATTTTATTTTTTGGATGTACTCAAAGGAAAACAAATAACAGAAAAAATCTATAAAAAATACAACGATTCGGTATTTTATGTTTTGGGTTTCGGCAGCTCAGCCAGATGTCTTGCTGATATCGAGAAATATAAAACATACTTGTTATTTCTTACCTTCGTGCCAGAAACTACGTCGTTGGTTGCTAAATACGAAACAGCCTTTTCCGCAACAGCCGAAGCAACTATTGAAAATCAAGATAAAATATTAGCTTCACTGGGTAAGTTTGATTTTAAGGTAATTTGAGTTATTTAAATCCTTTCGTGCGGAAGAGAGGTTTCGTGTGGTAAAAAGTGTAATATTTTACGGAAGTTTAGGATTGTTTTTGATATAGGAAGTTCCGAGTGCTGAATAGCGTTAATCTGAACGCGTTTTATGTTAATCGTCATATATTATCTAGGCCATATTGCACATATGCTGGCGAGGTTATTTTATGTCTAGCGATACCCTGACCTTTTGGTGGGAAATCAACAAAGAATGTAGGTTTTTATTGCAAATCCTAGAGCGGCTTAGTTCCATATTGAGCTGATGAAGGCCTCGTATAGAGAAACAGCTGAGGGTGCTTATTACAGTGGAGACGTTTTGTCAACCTGGGGTCAATAATATAGAAAATTTGATGTTTACAATTGCTTGACATTGTCATGTTCGCTTAGAAGCAATTAAATAAATCAAATGTCAGCAGTAAAACTGTATCTTGTTCAATTTGTTGAAGGAAGTGTATTTTATTATTAGGTTTAGGTAAAAAAAATAGTCCCAATGACCTGCACATGTGTTGTTAAATCGCATGTTTCCCATGGTGGTTAAGACTCACGCAAATACCTAAATAGTCGATTATTATTAGCTATATATAGAAGCATCACACTGCTTTGCATTGCCAACGGAGGGAATTGTGTTCGTATTCATGAACACTTGTGGCAAAGACAATCAAGACAAAGCACAAATGAGAAGACTCTGAGATCCGTTTCTGATAAAGTGTTGTTATCTTGATACTTGTGTCGGTTCATCTGCTAATACCGATCATTGTCCATATCATCTGTTTTCATTCAATTGCGCGAAACCTTTCGGTAAACGTGCAAGAATAACTATATACACTAGCTACCACTGTGGTGTAAGATATCCACGTTAGCCCATGCAGGAGACAGGAGTGCACTTGCCAATGCAATGTGAACGTATAGTAAAAGACGTTTTGCGAGTCCATACTATACTATACATAGCTTTCATTCCACAAAACCATAAACACGTTTTGAATTAATGTAAATCTATTCGCTAAACGTCCGCCATAGTCATAGATCCTAAATATTGCTATATATAGTATTTGGAAAACTAGTATTTCTATTGTCTCAATGTTGTACCGATTCTGCAGTAGGCTTTTCTACTTTATACTTTGGAAAGACTGATGAAAACGTTGTAGAATGTATAGTCTATATTATATATATGTAAATTTCAGTATCTTTGTAACAACATTTGGTAAATCGTACCAAGTTGCAATAATAAATAGCTCGTAAGACCCAAATACTTTGTAAACCGCGTTGCGATAATGAAAATTCTATATTTTGTAAGTTCATTTGGTGTCTGCATGGATGAAGGTCAGACTGCAAAAATGTCACTTGTAAGGTCAATCACAATGCCTAACATCAAAACGGACCCACTGCCAATGAATTTTTTATTCAGAATTGAAAACGACTTTCTGTGAGCCATAAATTATAGAGTTATAGAATCTAATTCATCCAGATCACAAAAGTAAAATGACTCTTTTTATATACGAATTGTATGTATCGCATAAAAAAATTTAAGAATGTGTTTACGTCCATTCAAAAATGCATCGACATAAATATATCAAATTCCTGATAGTTCTTGAATAGCATTGATATGAATAGCAGACATATATATGGACATGGCAAATTTGGCCGTACTGTACATACATGACATGTATTGGCTGCTTGCGACCACAGTTTTAATGGTTCCATTAACTGTGTTGCGACAGCAGCAACACTTAAGAGAGTGAAGGTATCACTTATTCACTTTTTAAGAGCATCACGTAAGCCCACAGCAATTGACGTGTAACATGACTTAGGACATTTGCAACAGCATCATGCATCAATAAAGAAAAATATCGACGTTTTCGTGTTCGCAAGGAAAGTCACTAGCTATTATAGTTACATTTAATAGCACTCATTTTATAAAACTTTTTCAGTCAAATTCATTTTATCATTGTAACCGGCGCAATTATCTTTCAAACTCTCTATATACCTATTTGTTTGATGTTTCATGTGAGTTTACCTCAGGCTCAGGAATGAAACAGACTATCATTATTTGAAACCTGACAGGATTTATATTTGAAAAACAAGGTGTTTTATATATACGAGAAGTATATATAGCTATATGTATTTTGACTAGTAGTGTGTGCTTGTATAGGTTAGCTAGACCTATATAGTTCAACCACAAGCTGAGAAAGAAATCTAATTAAAAACCTTAATTAGGCCTTTGCCTATGGAAACGTAAGATACAAGTGTAGAACCGAAAGTTAGCATTTTGCTCGTGAACATAAGTGTAGCGCCAAAAAGATCAGGATCGTGTTATTTGTCTGACTAAGATTCATATCTTTCACGACATATTTCAAATCCTCTGTATCGGACAGTTTGCCGCCAGATAACGTTAAAAGGAATGCTATTAAACAGGAGTCCACATGCCTCTTATATACTTGATCATCTCAGATATTTATAGCTGGTTGGTTAATCTAACGGTGCTTGAAACTAATAAGTCTGTTGATTGACCAAAACCCAAAAGAGCTGAGATACAAAGATCGCACTAAATAGCTTTGAAGTTAACGTCACAAGAGTAAATTAAAAGAAAAATATTAGACCCAGATAAGTTCAGTATGATGACTTGTTCAATTGCATTAAGATATTTAAAACATATTTTCTAATAATTTTTTGAAGTCAAGTTAAAATATGAAGTTGTTAGTTACAAACCGGGACGCTGATTTTTGTACATGCTGCTATAGCGATTAATAGAGTTTTTTGAGGTTCCAACAATCCCATATAAAAACAACTCCTAAATACACTATGACCATGTGGTCATAGCCGCCTGGATAAATTATACATCGAAAAGAGTGAGATAATAACTTGTTGTATGAAAATATCAATAAAAAATTCTCACCCTCTCGGGCCTTTTATAAATCGAAATACCGCTGTTGATTTTATAAACTATATTTCTTCCTCTAATCATGGGGTGTTTACATTGTTGTTCAACTATAGGCGGCAGTGTTAGATTCCTTTAAGTTTATTTAATCGTGCTGGGCTTACAAATTCAAGGTGGTAGTATAAAAACATAATCTAGATCCCTGCTCTTAAAAACGTGCATGGTGCATGAGAAACATGACAACACCGAGGTTTTATTGGGGCAATCTTCGGACTATTTCTTCATCTCGTGTATGAGGATCAGCGTTTGTGTAATATAGCAATTAATTATATGACCATAAAGCACAACCATGCATGATGTTGCTTTATCGTAGATGAAACGCATACCCGTGAAAATATGTCATACTACACGCAGTTATGCGATACGAACAGTTCTTATGTGTTCTAAATGCCCTATGTTATATAATCATTTACCGGCTACAAGAAACGCTAATACAAGCGGGAAAATTTTATATTATGCATGCACAAGTCAATCCTCGAATGTTTTATATAAATATATACATGTAGAGTAAAGATACAGCATAGTACATGTATGTTGAAGTCTTGAAGATACCAAAGTCAATGATATATAAAGTTCGCCATGATGTCAAAATCAAAAGTCCGAGAAAGCTTCATCTTTTAGTTTTCGACCTATTTTTCGACTTCATCTGTATTTATATACGAAAAATCATAAATGGGAAAGTTGCAAACAATTATTGCTACTCTTTTCTCAGATAAAGAAAAAAATTATGATGCCAGTTAGATTAGATTATGTGAACAGAATATCTACGAATTTTGCCATGTAGATTTTTGAATTTGAAAATTCATTCCGTTTCACTGGCCTTCGACTTTACGAAAACGACCAAGAAACATTGCTGCATGATCAATTAATAAGAAATATTTTTGTTTCAGGTTGGGGGCCCTGGTCAGACTGGTCCTCGTGCTCAGCCTCTTGCTCGGGGGGTTGGGATAGAAGAACAAGGACGTGCAGAAAAAGAAGATGTGAGGGTTCCAAAATCTTACGACGAGCCTGTAATAACTACGAATGTGATGGTAAGTTTATATAATCCATAAAGTTTCTACATCGTTCTCGCCTTCCTAAGATAGTTAGATCCTTAATTCCGTTCTATCTAGAACAGGTATAGTGTAGTTCTATATATAGGAACCTGTCCAAATAAATTTGGCGTCTTGCAAAAAGTTTTAGATCATGCAGAAGGGAAAACCACTGTACTTTTATACCTTTTGTGTATTGGTAAGAAAACACGAAAAAGAGCACTTAGGGCGGCATGTAGATCGAAGCAAAAACGATTTCATTTAAGAGCGATTATTTTGTAATGATTATATAATTGTTATATAATATGTCAATGGAAACAAAAATGTGCGTCATAATGATTTGGTGAATTTTTGACCTCATGGTGAAAACATGAGTAATGGTAATAGGTAATGAATTCAATATGGCGACAGTTTCTTTGTATCACATCTCGTTTTTGTATTGTTTGATTAATCTATATATGCTTCCATAAAAATACAAGAAAAATTATCGTGATCTCCATACGAAGTTGTTGAATTTTATATTTTGTAATGACAAATTTTATAAATTTTATAACGGTCTTGATCATGTGTTCAAGAAATTTATCGTATATGTCGGAAAATCTACCGCAACTCATATCCAATAACTTATCAAACTTTCGCAAAAAGGTTTAATTTCCTGTTTGTCATCTGGATGTATTTTTTTTCTAAATGCATGGCTTTGTGGAATTGCGCATCCGCAGTTTGTCGGTGATTTCATTTTATTTTGATTTGAATTTTTCTCACAAGACGCCACCTTGAAGGAAGTAATAGAAATCGGGTTTTTTTAGGGGGATTCTATAAAAGAAATACGCATTATATACACGATTTATAGTCTGTACTGATAAAACCATGTCCTGTGGCAAACAAAGACGCTAAAACTGGAAATGACCAACTGGGATATTGAGCGGCCTACAGGGTTTATTATCTAATTTTGTTGTCCATTATGTCCATGCAGAACTCAAATCCGGTGACTATAACTTTGTGTATTAAGCAATTAGCATTACCGTAGTTCAATTAAGATGAATTTCGTTTTAGTATCTAACAACTTTTGGCAAATTTCTTAATTTTCTAAATTTCATGTAATTCCCAAGTTATATGTGTAGTCAGCATGCTATGTCTCGTGCGCTTACTGAAACTTTTTAGTGGTGCCAAATCAAGCTGCGACATGTGATAGCGACATTCTTACCCCACGGACTGAAATTAAATCTGGCTGGAAAGAAACATGTATCAAGACCATTAAGTTCTTTTATTTTCTATAAATATAATCTTCAAATACGTATAAGATCTATGACACGCTAATACATACTGAAAATACCTCACACTTATGGGATGAAATTTTCATTATGAAAGATATGCCGGAATTTTTTTTTAATTCAAAGTGTGATTTGAACCTAGCAACACAACAAAATAGTGATTCGAGAAGATTATGTTGGCGCGCAAGAGCATTGTCATGTGTTGTGCAAAACTCATACAGGAAATCCAAGAATGTAAAAGTAAAATATCTGATTATCTGAAAACAATATTTAGGAACTTTGACTGAAAAAAAACCCCGTAGAATATAGGGATATTAATTGTCTGCATTATATGATGTATCTCTTATTTACGGAGGTTTATCTATCATTGTAAAAGTATATATCCATGCATATCAATTGTTTATGAACTAATATAGAATCACTGTGAAAGAACGTGAGGACTGCTTGTAATAAAATGTATATATTCTTAGGAAAAGTTGTTTATATAACACATGCATATGTGAAAAATCTGCATGGCGTTAATACATTAAAAAAACTCATATAGTAAGATACATGCACTGTATGATTTCATTTTCACATATTTCAGGCGCATAGCGGAAAATATATATCCTAGCGTTTATGAATAGTGATTAACTTTTTAACAGGGCCGTAGCGAAATTAGAATATTCATATATCCATTTATAGGAACAATCGTGTTCAAAATAAATCATGCAGTACTCTATTATGAGCTTATATATCTAAACAGCTGTGTGTATTTTAACAATTGCCTAAAATAAAAAAACACATGTTGAAGTTTCCACCAATTATTTGTTACCATCACTTTTAAACATATAAAAATTGAACACTCGAAAATTGTCACGTCGTAGATTACCCGTAATTAAAAGCAGTATGGACGCTATTCGTTGTATGCATGGGTGTCATTATTTTCCTAAAACTTTTAACAATGTTCGTTATCTGCATTACATGTATTCCTTATACCTAGTACTATATCTGACACATTTTCAGGAGCCACGAACGTATTGGAACACTTCATAGAGCGTCGAAAAACTCGCAGTATTCCAACACCTCCCATGCATGAAGATGCTTTAAAGATCAACAGTTTGAGGAATCTCTCTGTACCGACACATCAAATATTCTGGGAGCCATTTCCACGACATTTTACTATGTTTGCTGCTGCAAAGTATGTCAATTATACTGGGGGATATATGATTAGTTTCATTGATGCCAGTGATAGACTGCAGATTGGTATCAAAGTGAGTAGAACCTCAGTTGCACTGGAATATTCCCAGGCTGGAAGAAATAATCAATTCATAGCGTTCAACGTGGAAGTCGTAGACAGAAAATGGCATCGGTTTGCTTTCAGCGTTGGAGAAGGTCTAGTTTCGTTCTATTTAGATTGTGAAATGATAGGAACTCGCGAAATTGCACAAAATGGCCTATCTCGTGTTGATCGTTCAGGAAATGTATATCTCAATGCAAAACCCGAGCCTCCTCAGAGACGAGAGGAAAATATCGAGGTAAGCGATATAATACCATAAGTCATGAGTCTTAGAAGCTGTTTGCATTATCATAAACTTAAATAAAGCTGTGCTTTTTTTAATTAAATTCACCTGTTTTAATACGTGCTTTTTAATACGTTCTTTAAATTTTCAGTTTTATATCGAAGAGCTTACTTTGTTCAATGCGAGCGCTGGTCAACAACAATGCAAGGATGATAATATATTTGTAAGTACATATGCCTTAAATTTTCAGTATTAGGACACATTTTACGCAACGATGATAACTGTTGTATCACCTGCTTCAAAAGAGACATCATATATACTAATATAGCGTGTAATGGGTAATATCCAACTGATCTAATAATAGGGAACGTGTTTGGAATATTTGTTGCTTTTTCAGTTTAATTCATTGATTGTAATATTTGTCTTTGACGTTGGAGAAGGATTTGTCTTGTTCTAACCGAGTTGCTGCATTACAGGAACTCTATCAACCAAATATACATTATCGCCTTATTTAAGAGTGTGGCAAGTTCTAAAACGGCAGGCTTATATAGTGGTGAAAAAATGTTAAAAATGTCTCTATTTCCTCAAAGTTTTCTGTCTTCATATGCATTATATTCTTCAGGGTTTGTACATTCAAATCCCTCTTAAATCGAGTGTACATGCACAGTCATAGATTATAAATGATTAAATTAATCTTTCTCTATACGTATATACAATCCATGTGTCATTTATTTATAAGTCAGTAAGATTTTTGGGAAAAAAAAAGGCCCATGCAAGGTCGTTCTGAACTCACAAGTGGAGTAAAAGCGTGTAAATATTTACAATATTGATTAACTCTTACGAAATAATGCGGATTATCTGCAATTATAACTCTAATCTTAACGGAAAATCTGCAAATGTATTCCTAATCCCAGAAATTAGGCGTCAGACAAGTGGACATGTCTCCCGTCAATTGACAGTCGCGTGAGCATTCCACACTCGTCGGACTACAAACGTGATGAATTTTTTCGTTTTTTAATTAAAATCTCAAGGCTGGTTTCAATATATATGACTCATTCCATCATCACGTTGTACAGTTGCCATTCACACTTATCATTCAGATGCAACACAAATGACGCACGACTTTTGCCTGCAGGCTGTAGGCTAGGCATAACCATTTCTTAGCGTATGTAAAGTCTCAAGACATGTAGTAGTAAAGGCAAGATCCTTCTTAGAATATACCCCTTTCAAATTCAGTTGTTTTGTGAATGCAGTTATTCATATATAAATATAAACGATCCTTTTTTTCTAATAATGCAGACATCAACTGCCCAGGAGCCGTTTTCAGAGGGATCAGGTGCTGGGCCACCAGGTAAATGTTGTGAAAAACTTTGTGCATTTTACCCACATATGTTTTCTAGTAACACCTGCTATTTTTTTCCAAAAATATATCCGAACAAACCTATAGTGTATCTCAACTTATTGTTTGAGTTTCTAGTTCATCAGTTCATGGGAAACGTGAGTAACATGAACATCAATTTAAACGGTGCCTAAATAATGCAAAATCAAAATTTTGAAATGTTAAGCTTTATAATTCGTCTTAGTTAACATGTGATAATTTGTAATTCGTTGTACATGTTATTCGAAATCTGACATATAAAAACCGAATTAAAAAAATAATAACAAATTACGACGTATGAAATAGTACAGAAATACGCCGAATATTTCATGTGAAGACCAGCCTTAAATCAGTAAATATCTTAAATATAAAAGATTATTGCCCGCAAAGGCTGGATTACGTTTATATAAACTGAGATTTGGGCGTTGCCTCATTCAAACCAAATAACGTAATTAATCACTTAAATCTGTTTTAAAATTTAGAGTTGGAGTACACGTGGACAACATGGACAGCTTGTAGCAAAACATGCGGAACGGACGGAGTTCGACGTCGTATAAAGATGTGTTCAAGGAAATCCAGGGAGGAAAGACCAGAAGAATGCCAACAAATATTGCAACTATCTGAAGAACAATCTTGCAATAATATTCCTTGTCCTGGTAAGATTGAAATGACGACGACACTAAATCTGTCAAAAGTGAATTTCCAATCTATGGAAGAAACTTTGGAGTGAAACAATTGAAGTATTGATTACCTTCTGTAATCAGGGGCAAATACTGCAATTTCATTGGTGAAGAGGAGTGTGATTGATCATTAATCGCACCCTTTCAATTGTGTTTTAGTATTTTTCCTTAAAACAAGTTGATTACAGAAGGCATATAATTAATAAGTAATAGAACGAATTAAGTCGTGCAATTAATGGCAAAATCATACGCGTGATTAACAAATCAACTAATAGCACTCCTATTCGTTCTATTACCATTATATGGCATTATTAATCGTTCTTTTATTATCTGTATAGGGAAGTGTCGACAACGTTGTATAAATGGAATATGTGCGGCGAAAAACAAGTGCAAATGCAAAAAAAATTATTACGGCCCTAATTGTCGTTATAAGAGAGGTTAGCACTGCCACTGTATTCCTTAATTACTTTCTTTAATTGAAAATAGAAGTGTGCGTAGTCTGGTGAATTGATTCCATTCACCAATGAATTCATTCTCTCATGATACAAAGCCGTCACAATATACAACGCAATTATGTTAAATTAGTGCGCACAGAAGTAAACGCAATTCAAGCAATTCCCTGACGAACGTGAGATACACATACAGTGCACATAAAAGCAAATATGACCATAAAATAAAACATAGTTATTGGACTAATAGATAAAGATGTCTGAAAGACGTATTCCATTTTTAACGTCTTAATTAACCTTGTTGGCAATCAACATTCAATGTAAAATTAAGCAATAAAATATTTTATATTTCTAGCTTCACTCTGTAAACCAGCCTGCAGTAATGGTGCTGAATGTAGCAAAGGAATTTGTAAATGTCGACAAGGATTTTTCGGGAAAAGTTGTGAAAAAGGTCTGCTGTCTCTATTTAGATATATTTTTGCATAGTTTATTGTCCAACGAATCTATCAACACTCTGTTTCTTTTATTCTAGCAAAGTGCTCTCCAATGTGTCAACAAGGGGGTGTTTGTACAAAAGCTGGAGTGTGCAAATGTCTACCTGGATTAAAACCCCCACTTTGTAAATGTAAGAAGAGATTTTTTCCTCTTGTATCATTATAAACATACATGAATCTCAGCTCTTTACAGTGAGGCATTACAGAAATTAGTGACCAAATGGCTTGGACACAATTTGCATTTCATCCATACATAATGGCCTTTACAATAAAATGCATTGATTGAAAATATATAACATAAAATCATCACAGATTTGGAGCACTGTTTTCCGACCTCTACATCAATAGAGAAACTCTTTAATAACTTTTTTGTAATCAAATCTTCTCACTTTCCCTTCTGCATTTCTTCAATCTTCACCATTTAAAAATATGTTACTTAAAGTTTTGCTGTTTTGGCCACATCCTCTCAACATACTTCATATAATAACTCACAATCATAGGAATATTTCAATTCCAGATAGTTGATTAATTGATGTGCACTATAGTTGAAGTTCATTATGTATGGGGTGAAATGCAAATTAGTACACATGCATTTCTTTGCATCATACTCTCATGTCATGCAATGTTCCGGTAATGTTTATTTATAAGAAATATATTTTGCAGTTATCATTCAAATCATTGTTAAAACAAGCACTGGTACTCATTAAATGCACAAGGGTAAAGGGTGCTCATATACAACTATAAAAAAGACTTAAGTTCTCCTCAATTTTAAAAAAATCCCCTTGGAAAATGTTACCACTAATAATAATTTTAAAAACCTCTCTTTTGTTTCCCATCAGCTGTGTGTAGACCATCATGTATGAACAAAGGCATTTGTTTTATGCGAAATCGATGTCATTGCAGAAGGGGATATTTTGGCAGACGATGTCAATACGGTGATTAACTTTAAATTTTTTATATTTAAATATTGTTTACAATACTCATACATAAGAAATTGCAATCTTACTTCATAAAATGCAATGTATTATATGAAACAGAATAAACTATTATTATAACATATGGTGCAGCAGTCTTCATGCACGTTTAACCATCTTAAGCTGACTTTTAGATAAACGACCTTTACTTGAATCAGCTTTGTTGTTTATGAATTTTCAGGAGAGAACACATAGCAAAATAAACAAACTAATATAGCTAGTATGTAGTATCTATGCAGAATCTGCATGTTCAAGATATATGAGACATATAACACTGACTAATAAACCTTGCAAGTTGAAGCATCAAGATATAGGGCACTTTTGCACTTTTCGAAATTCCTATCTGAGCAGGTCCAATTTTGTAATTAATAAAATGCTGTGAAGATTTTTAATGCCAGATTATTAGCCACAATTGCACTAGCAGCAGCGATAATATAATCTGCATAGAATTAACAACTTATCATGGCTTATGCAAGATGCAATAAAAAGATTTAAATTCAACCAAAACTGCCTCTGTTATTTAAAACGTGAACTACGATCGTTAACACACGGAACACCGTGTTCGAATTCATCCTATTCAGGTGTTCAGAGTATAAAAATGGATGAAAATTTGCAGCATAATTATGGTCAAGATGGTAGCGGACATGCACAATTCACACAAATATTAGAAATAATGGGACGAACGTTCACTAAATTTTCATGGAACTTAGTTGAAAAAATCTACAGTTTTCGCCTACGCCAAGAACGAGCTACGCTTTAAAACTGACACTTACCCACGTCTTGGAGGTCTCCAGCATGGACGTTTAACATTCTAAAAACAATTCTTTGCATGGTGCGGCAGTATATAAGCTATGGTTCTATTACTAAAATCACTGGTTTCTAAATAATATATTCACCTTCAGTAACCAGTATTATTGAAGTTACCAAGGTAACAACCAACAGATCGACTAGCCGGATTGGTCAATTTCTCGCGTCTAAATTATTCCGCAAATTTGGGCTAATGCGATCAAAAAATGTCCGCATTGCTGGTAAAATAAAAAGTAAAAACCAATATAAAAGAACAAAAAATCCGACAATGTTGACTACCAAACTTCATTTGGATTTTCATATGACGCTTTCTATCAACTACGTTGGCCCAATTAGATCCAGGTACATTTAAGGTACCTCGTTAGTTGGCTCGTCTTTTTTAGCTTATGAATGGGTGAGATAATAGTCGCCGTTACAGAAACATGCTACATACTATGTAGGTACAATAAATAGCAGCTTCAAGACTATTTTTTGGTTAATGTACGACATTCTACCCAACGGAGTATTTATTCTTCGAATTATTTCGAAAATTTAAACCTGGCAAAATCGATCCTTTCTGCAACGTCTAGGACTCTATAGATAACACATCGTTGCTGAGTTGTTTGTTGGCGTACTTTACACACTTACCCTTACAGTATTTCCAAATACGTCCCTGATTTCATGTAACAAAGGATATGTATAGATACATGTTTAATAGTTTTATATCTCCAACCGTTAATTATCCAATCAGAAAACTCATTTTGTATTTCTAGGAACATTACGCATCTCGATTTGATACTGTTGTATTGCACTTTTCATGAATGCGATAATTTCCTTTCATTACCTCTTTCATTTCGCTTTAAAATTATCCGTTGTTGGGTATAACTTTGATTACATCTTAGTATTCCTAAATTGAGGACCTCTTTAAAAATTGTTTGTTCCAAAAGCAGAAATTTTATTGTTTTTCAAGCATTTTTAGAACGGTTGAAAAAATGTACTCTCCGTTGAATAGCGCTATCCAGTCTTTGTACAACCGGCCCCTGTAGTATAAATTCGAGCTACAAACAGGTGCATGGGGCAATGCAATGCATTGGGGGGAAGGGGGACAGTTCGAGGCTATCAACATATTCCGCACAAGGAGAAGTGATTGTTTTGTAATGATGATAGTTCTCGGTAGATGCATATACTCCGATAGACTCGAATAAAAAGCTGGACAAACGCAAATATATGAAACGGTTTTTCCCATATCGAATTCAAGCGCTAGGAAGGGATGAAATATCCCAGCGCTTAAATAGCAGCACGCGTCCGAGAAACATAAACCCAGCCCTGCTGTCTAAACCAGGAGCGTAGCAAAGAAGGGTGTTTGAAAATATGGCAATTGCCAACCATTCAAAGAGTGTAGCAAAGGTAGCAATCGCCGTATTTGCACAATCGGCTATTGTAAATTTGGCATTTGCCAGAAGGAATATTTCATATTTGACCCGAAGCCAAAGATTTGCGTGTTTTGAGCTATTTCAAAAACCTCTTGATTTTGAAATTGTGTACAAATTCCCATGACCAAATAGAATCATGTTCTTTGGCTGTTTTTATGGTCTGGTCAAATTTCTGATAGCGATGTTGTTTGTTTCTTCAGCTGTATGTAGGAAAGTGTGTTTGAACGGAGGAGTTTGTTATGACAACAATAAATGTAACTGTAAATCAGGATGGACAGGTGATACATGTAATGTTGGTAAGATATTTCTTATTAATGTAAGTATACGTATATGCGTAGGAAAGGTTTTTGTAGGAACGAGGAAATAAGTAGCTAAGTTTATAGTTAGATCCTTAAAACTGGGTAAAAATCCTCTTTTCCCGTTATCTTTCAGCGATATGTCATCCAAAATGTCAAAATGGAGGGAGGTGTAGATTTCCTAACCGATGTTCCTGTCCGAACAAAACAAGTGGGACATATTGTCAAAATGGTAAGTACTTTTTCACTGCGTTAAGATCTTCCCTGATCAGGTGGTTCATTTCTTCTCTCTCTATAAACCTACCAGTAAGTACCTCTTTCTCCCCTTTCATATTTTGTTCTGTACTTCTGTTGGCAATGACAAGTGCCAATGGCTGCCATTTAGTCTCGTCTGACTGCAAATATTATATATCATTATTCCCGTAATGGTTTGTGCTATATCACTTGTGCATGCTCATCAAATGAAGCTTCTGGGTTAAGAAAATAATATAAAGAAACTTGTACGAATGTTTCCAATCAAACGCCAAAATTGTGTAAATCTGCACGACTCCAATAAATATATTAAAAACAGAGTGATTTAAAAAAAATGAATAATATTCGTTCGAGCATGTAAAACAATGTTCCATTCAGTACATTTTAAGACACTAAAAAAGATCTCGAACACACGCTGTTCTGTTATTATCAATGATAATTCATAATATACAGCATATGCTGTACTACGGAATTGTTTTAATCATTGGAGGAAACCAGGAGACAATTAGGCGCCTTCGAAGAGAAAACATAATTCTTGAATCCATGTATACGCCTCTAGCTTGTTTCTTTCAAAAGTGGCGTTCGAGTTCTCTTGCAATCAGTACAATTCCATTCATCGCCACTTAATGACGTATGATGACTTCGAATGTATCATAATTTAGAAGATAAAATTAAGATTACCAATAAAGAGGGAAAAGCAGTTCAAGATTCGTTTATGGATCAGCTTCTTAAAAATAATTTTACGGAGCTAAATGTAACACAAGCATCTGTCACAAAGCAATTAAACTCCGTAGCATGCATTTTACAAGGGCGAAAATTGGAAAGTGGGGAGACGCCTCGGTTTGCATAGATTAGTTAATGCTTATGATTAAACTTTGAGTCACTAACGCTTCGTTGCATCTCCGCTAAGCGGGACCAGGAAAATAGTGGGTAAAATCAAAATATAAACTCTTTAACAGAACTTACCTCTTAAATATCTCTTAAATATCTTTTGATAAAATTAACATTAGTTACACGCCTAAAAACGATCAGGTTGATGCAATATTGATATGAACAGGATGGAACAATATTTTGCTGCCTACATTGTTCAATGTTGTTGACAAGTGTGAATAATATTGGCAGCACAACATTGCTCCATGCTGATAGACCGCAGGCTCAGAGTTTTTAGGCGTGTATTATTTAACGTTACAAAAGCTAGCTCAAAGTCGGTCAGCGATCAATGCAATTTATCTTTATATTTTGCATTCATTTATCAATTGTTTTATGTTATGGTTGGGCAATGGACTTTCAAGTTCACATTTGTGAAGACCATTTCTTATTTTTTTTATTTAACATTTTTCTTATTTAATAAACCTTAAATAAGAAACTATGGTATAAAAAGTAGGGGGGGAGGACAATTATATATTCGCCCCTCCTACCCCAAAAGTGGATGACAAAAGAAACTCCATATTTTAAAATATATCATTTTCTTTGTCTCGACTAAAATATTGTCATCATCAGGAGAATCATAAAGGAAAATCATGATGCAGATAAATCATTCTTCTCCTGATGTGATTTTCTAAACGTTTAGCTTTTACGGAGTTTCTATTGTTTTGTATTTAGTTATGATAGGTTAAAAATGGAAACATCGTTGTCATTATAGGATTATATAGTGACTGACCGACTCATATATCCTTATGTAATGTTTGACAAATTTGCTTTATCTAGCTTATTTATAATATATGTCTCTGCACGTCCTTTTTTTCTTATTTATTTACTGCAGAAAGCACGTATTCGATTATTACTGAACATCCATGCATCACTAGCAATATGCACTGATTGAATTGGACATTACGTGACCCGCGGCTGTTGGATGATGAGATTAGTTGACATTTATTCGTGAATGTTGAACGAGGGAATTCTGAGAAATCCAATGAAATTCAGTGAATAGTAGAATCATTTACTTTTGTGCTTTCACTAGCAATACTCGCGTGCAATCATGACTTGTTTTTTCATTTCAGACACATGCAATTAAAAAACATAATAAAATCGATTTGGTTTAATGTTCTTACTTATTTTTGCACGTCTCACAAATTCACTTCATGGTCCTGAGCAGTTTCCTGACATTCGTTTTATTCCATTTTAGTTGTAACATCAGTGCTCTGACCTGGTGCTTCCAAAAGAATACCGATTTGGTTAGAAAATTCCTTTTGACATTAACCTTAACGTTAACATTTGCATGGTTGATTAACTTATTCCATTAACGAAGCCATAAGGCAGAGTTTTTACCAAATCAATCTACTAGTCTGATGTCGAACAAAGGATTATACAATGAGAAACAATAAACTAGCTGTGTTACCTTTTGCAAGAAGCTAATTATGTATTGACCTTTTGTGAGAAAATATACTTTTGACGTTAGTCACATGCTAAACTATAAATTAAGAAATATATATAAAACGTTTAGATAAAACGTATCTTATATATATATATGTAAAATAGTATATAGGGCAAAATTGACTACTCTCTTTAAATTAAAAGTCTTTATACATTTATTCACTGACCATTGGAATTCACAGAATTTCTCTTTTCCATACTGGCAATTACGCGGCGATTAAGCATAAATTTCCATGGTGAAAAAGGAAAGTATTTCGGTTGTATTAAGTATTTTCCAAAAAATCAGATAATTATGTATCCGCCAAGCAGCTTTTTTAGTACAGAGAATTTATGGGTCGAACCGTGAAGAACTTTTTCTGCATACTTAGGAATTTGTTAGGATTCGTATAGGAATGCATGTGCATGTGTTTAAAGATAGAACATCCTCCAAATAATTTAAATTTCGAAACAAAACCATGCATGCATGCATTCGAAGCACGATATTCGTCAGTGACAATATTTTATTTCTGCTTTTGAAATATAGGTATATACCTAATTGGTAACGGATCGAGTAAGTTTAGAAGGGTGCTTATGCTCCCTGGCTCCGAGAAAACTTTCTTATTGGGCTGGGAATACAATTTTCAATTGCTTTCAATTTTCAGCTAGCTTTAATTACAGGCAAACCATGATGCAGCGAACCTAGTTGAACCAAGTATAAAACTTACTTGAAACTTAATTTAGCTTTAATTTTTCACCGATCCATTGTTAACTGCATTAAATCATAGTCACCATCGTCCATCCCCAACATTCTTTGACCCATGCATGCATCGGTGATCTCCACTGTCATGGACGCTAAAAAAGACGACATAAATTAAGAAAGTAAAACAATTAACACTAAATAGTTTATATAATTAACGCTACGCGGCTCCCTGTGTTATATGGATTTCTAGTGTATAATTTTGCGACGTGTATATTTTGACACTGACTGAACGTTATGAAAACTGTGATTGTTGTGATAAAAACCACTGCTACTGGTAAACACTTACCCATTGTTCCATTTTAGCAAACACGTCATAGCGTCGTTTCAAAGCATTTCGTTACATATTCTCTTGGTATACAGTTAAAATTCTATACTAATAGTGAAAATTGGTTGTGTTAATGTAAAATTAAAATACATTGCTTAAGAAAATATACTGTATAATTCTTCAGTTATAATTATCTGATAATTTCATTCAATTGCCCATAAGTTAGACTATATTCCTTCTTCTGTTCCAGTCAGACCTTATCTTGCTCGAGGCTTGAGTGAAAAACGACATAAGCAATCAGATTCCTGTTTTCTTTTCTTAATCCGGAAAGATTTTAACAACAAGGTTGCTCGAAAATATTTTAATTATTCACTTGTCAAACACGAAAATATTACATTTCCCATAAATTTTATTTCATCCAGTTCATCATCGTTGTCTTCAGCGTTATCATTACTCGACAAACACGCGAATTCCAATCTAGTTTCGAGTTTTACTGTCATTCCAGAGATTTAAATATATGGATTACATCATCATCATTCATCACTGAAGAAAAGATTTCGAAAGCATGAACATCATCCATGCGAACAACAATCGTAAATCAGTCTTCATCGTTTTAGTGTCGTGTTACTCGTGTAAGAAATTGCCAATTCCTATATTTATAATTACAGAAATATTATTGTACTTTAGTGAGAAATTTCAATATTTATTTTGCGGTTTTTCAAATGCTCTAATCTAAAAGAATTAAATGTGATGACTTAAAATCCTGTTATTATAAGCTGGCTTACCAATGCAGTGCATGCATATAAAGCTGGAAAAAACATGCAGGGAGTTGTTGCATGCCGACTGCAAATCTAATTTAATTAAACCAATTCTATTGGAAACATTTATAAAACGTATTTGTTGTATTAAAGCCTGATTTGTCTGCATTATTTTTTCAACTTTTAATATACGTTAGTTTTTATAACTTATATACATGCCTGCATGCTTGGAAGAGAAACTTAGTCGATTTATACTTTTTCTTTGTAAGAAGTGAGTTCAAAATCGTGACCTTGTTTCTGCCAATTAATACAATAAAAACAACTGTAAGATTAATCTCATAATCAATAATCCGAAATACCTGCATACTATAGATACACCCGAGGGCAGAGATTAAAGATATAAAGATTTCAAAACCATCATGCGCGGCCACCAAACGAATTAATTAACGGTTCTGAAATTCGTAAGTGAGCATCTTTCTATGTAACACACGCAAAAGAAATCTCTTAAATTAAATTAAATTAAATCTACAAAAATCATAGCTCATACATTTCCTTTAAGCCTGTTATTATTTGTGTGTCACATGCATGCATGAGGCACTACACTAGAAAATGCGAAAAATCACGCTATAGTAAATTACAAAATATTTCTGCACGTCATCAAAATGGTGTGGCAAACCGCAAACCTACATGTTTCCTTGCTCAGATTTGCGCATCAGATAAGCGGGAGAGAACTAATTAGACAAAGGAGACGTTCACTTTGTCCTCACTGCAGTGACCGACTATAGCCGGTATAAAATCGATGTATGTTTATTCATAATTTATTACATTTTTACATTTTTTCAGTGGCATGTACTCCCCGATGTTTGAATGGAGGTCAATGTTTAAGAAGAAATATTTGTCTTTGTTCTCATCGATACTCAGGATCTCGATGCGAAACACGTAAGTAACGACAACTAACCATCAGGTGAAATGGCTGTTTAATTTTTTATGCCGGCAATATCAAGAAATAGTTAGTTTACTGCAACTAAATGTTGTGTTCGTCAAATAACGGCGTATCACTTTTTTAGCGGTATGTCAACAGGGGTGCCGCAATGGAGGAACATGTGTGGCTCCAAATCAATGTGTCTGTCCTTCTGGTTTCTTTGGAAATTCTTGTGACAGAAGGTACGATCATAATTAAACAATACGTCACCATATATATATCTAATCTAATCCAGTAATAGTATAGAAAATGCATTATTTAACTGCTATAAGACCAGAGTGCTTTGCAACTCAACTCAAATGCGCGTTATTATTATTCTGCATATCAACCATATAGTAAGTGCCCATAGTCACCTTTGATATTATATATGTTCATCTTCATATGCTGTCTGCACAATTAATTAAGGTCCTGTATCTACAAAACACGTGTAGTTCCACAAAGGAGGACAGAATATATTCCAATTACTACAAGTTCAACAAAATGGTGTCTTCGATACCTAAGATGGGCAAGACCATGCAAGTGAGGTTTTTATAGGCGTTCTTTAAATATATGTTTGGTGCATTCATTGGTGGATATAGAGGCACATCTATTTAAGTTTTGTCTCTAGATTAAATTTAAAACACTAGCTCGGACTCTCAAAAATGTATAGTTTGAACGTGTATAGGCTATAGGTATATAGTCAATCTCTATATATTGCAATTATGATTGATGGTGTTTATTATAGGAGTCATGTTAATGTTCTCATAACTCATGCAATTACTTATAACCGACAATATATCCGTCCCAAACAACTGATACAAGACTAAATATCTAACGAAATATCTGTGTTTTTAGGACTGAATATCAAAAAGTACATATAACGACATATCGTACAATATACTACTGCAATTAAAGACGGATCTATATATTTGTGCTGGATAAGTTGGACCATCAAGGTGCTGGATAGACCGATAAACAATGCTAGGCATATAGCATCGAGACTCTTATCAGAATGATGAAGAGATTTCGATATTCCCTTCAAAAGAGTTCCTTCTATAAGATGTGTAATTGATATAACCCATAGACAGTGGACTCACCAAAGAGAGTTAGAGAATAGCACATGATGGTTAACATCTGAATGGTTAACATCTGAATAGATCGATAATATACCAGTTGACTATTCTAACAAATATCAAAGCCATATATTTTATTAGTGCATGTCTTCATAAGAAATCAATGTTTACGATATTATAAAGTGTTTTATGCAAAGCAGTTTATTATATGGAGATTTCATTGCTGAAGTAATATTTACTTTCAATTAGCTACACATGCATAGGCTGTTGATCCTTGTTGCTTTTTTTAACCACTTTTGACATGCATATTGCTGCCGTCAGATTGCGTTGGCGCTGTTACACTGTGCATGTTGTTAATTGCTTCTCTTGCATGCAACACAATCAGTAAGGAGGACTTTATACCGTAACATGCTGTATCCCACATGGGCCTGGCAATCAAATACAAATAAAAAGCACAAAGTACAACATGTATAGAATTTAAAGGAGGTGCAGTTGCGTAACTCTCTAGTTGCAGCGTTACGAATGCGTAACTACATTTTGCCTATACGTGATATGGTTAAATCGCAGTAATCTCTACTGAAAATACACGATTGTGGTTGCGAATTCTGTCATGCTAACTATAGTTAAAAGTTTATTCATTTTCTATACAACCCACCCCAATTTTACGCAATGATTAAAGTGGCAACCTCGCAATCAACACAAATTCAAAGCATTCCTACTACATGCAACCTGCCACTTGACCCGCAATGTTTGATCCTGAGTGGGTTCCCATCAATTCTTAATTTCACAAGCTCAATCATGGTCATAAGAGGCACAAGCAGCCCCGGAAAGGAAACGCAGTTGGAGATTTCTTAGCATAAAAATATAGCGAAATAATTTGAATTGTTTTCAATGAAAAATGTATTTCATGTGCATGTGGTATGAGATGTCATCATCAAGTTGTATATATACAATTATTCCATCTTACGTTCATCCGATTATCAAAAATATCCTGGGAATGTCACAAATTATTCTTTCTTTGATAAAATTTGAGTTCTAAAAACAAAATAATAATAATTCAGTAAAGGCGTCTCAAAACACATTTACATTGTTTCAATACATTAGAGGTCCTTTAATTGAAGTTTTCTGACTTTCTATTTTCACCTTTATATTTCAGGCTTGCTGCCGAAAATATTAAATATATTCATCAAGATTGCAATTGGCAAATTTAAAACTAAGTACTAAGATTGATGATCCCATGCATGCACGTCGAATTATAACGTATTATTCCCCGTGAAAATCAATATGTAGGTCCACTGGTCCAACCTTATGAACAAGGTATACATAGAAACTATTATTTGTCGACGAAATATAACGTATTCAATGCAAGTTTTTGGTAAAAGCCAAACTTACAAATTACTGTTAAACACGAGGTACATAGATTTACCTTACAAACAAGGAATGAGGTCATCAATCTTTTGGTTTTTTTCCAATCTCTTTTCAATTTTAATGAGATGATTGACGCCATCGACAACCAGCTGAACCAGTTCAACTTCAGAGAATCCAAGACGGTCCGAGTTCGAGATATCAAAGGTTGAACCTACTGCTGCTGTATCAACACCACCTGAGACAAGGAACAAGACAGTGACTTCCTAGAACCAAAACTTGTATCTATTGTTACACTCAAAAGCTTTAGCTACTCAATCAATCATCATTTCGTATGCACATGACTAGACTACTGACCTGCATGGGCCCTAATATTTTTTACGCCTCAATGAAAAACGATGCACTAACTTTGTTTGTTCGCCTTATAACTAACTTGCTCTAATTGCATGCTTTTAATCTATACATAACTAAATCAGACTGAAACAAGATTTCCTACCTGTCCCACGTTTTTGCAACTTCAGATTCTCCAAAATTTGATCGAAGCGTTTATCCTTAAATAGATCATTCCGCGATCAAATTATTCACAACTATGCTTGGCAAAGGTGTGCAATATTTAGTTATGGATTAATGATATAGATGTAAATAATCATTTAAAGCTGTATACCAAACAAAATCTATAATTAAGATATACCTTGGACAGATTTGGTAATTTGACATGAACTCCAGCTCTCAGTCCTGTTCCAAGATTGCTAGGACATGTCAACACATATCCCAAATGAGATGTCCACATATACTCGTAACCCTCTTTCTTGATTAAACGTTCAACTTCATTCAATCCTTCACAGAAACGTTGGAAAACCTTTTTCATGTTTCCTCCTTTTTCCATCGAAATTATACGAGTGTGATCTTCTTCGTTGATCTGGAAGGAAAACGTCAATTTCCGAAATCATTTCATTGATTTTGTATTTGAAAACGTCGGTTTCTGTGTTTTCTCTCTATTTTGCATGTTTCTTTCTGCATGTCTACACACACGTACCCAGACGAGGAAGTTCTTATGTTTGTTGTGGAATATTCCTCTTGCATCAGGCCAATCGCGCGCCATTCCTGCGCATGTCAGCAGCGGAGAAACGGGCTTATCAAACAAGAAATGATCTTCAATAAGTTGGTTTTGATCTGCCTCGGTCATGCCATTTAATGGGTAGTAACGTCCAGATAGTTCACCTATAAACAATGAAATGATGAGATTGTATCTAGGACTATGCGAAGATCATGATAATGAATTCTTCAACCGCTCTTCTTGGCCTTTTGTCACGTGAAGAGAAATATACCTGAGGCTACAATTCTTGTGTTCTTATTATCAAATAGAGCAAATTTCTCGCTAAGAAAAATAATCAGTACGTGTCCTTTCTAATATATTAATGTTACTTGTCAATCTTCTTAGCAGACGCTCTTTGTCAAATAAGTGTGTATTTTGTCAATTATCGTACAGAATCGTAGTACAGTACTTGAAGCATCGTTTTTTAATTCTAATTTACTAGAGTAATTTTTAACAAAGTGAACGAGGGAAAATAAAAAAATAATGAAACCATAGCAGACCGCTGACTGCATAACCACTTAGGCAAACGTCTACCTTTTAATCCCTCCAGCGCATCATTCACAATTCTCTCAACTTCCCGTCGTTCACCACGTGAACAATGCGGTGGTAAAGAAAATCCACGAATTGAACGTCCAGTGCGCACGCGCGAAGATAACACGTATTTATCATCCAAATTGCCTCCTCTCAATTTAGAATAATCCAAATCTGTCTTGTGTTTATCAGTTTTCTTAAAGCCATTGTGTCTTTCTTCAATAATTGGATCAAACAGATCAGAGAATACTTCATAACTCTCTTCATCTCCGGCGACAATACCAACAGTGGAGATGAACGGATGTCCTGGGTTATCCACTCCAGTCTGGATTGCTTGATCTAACGTGAATCCAGAACTTGTCGCCTTATCTTGTAGTTTGTCATACAACTTTGGCGTGAGATGTTTTGCCATTAAGTTGTTATGTTGCCGTATGTCAGGAAAGTTATTTAAAGTGACAGTAATCTTCTTATTTCTACCACAACAAGCATAAAGAGCAGTTCCTGCAGCAAAGAGTCCCCCAGCAGCAAGTAAAACTTTACGTTGTGCTAAAAATACCATGACCTGATCCTTCGACAACATCCACTGACACGAAATTTCACTGTTGCGTCGCAATAGTTTCTTAATTAATTAATTAATTAGTAAATTCGCCAAGATCTTATACTTCGCGATACCCAATTAGCTGTTAATTGATTTCAATAAGTGTTACGCGTTTTAATTGATTTTAGGTTTCCTACGCAATGAAATCTAGACGTCCAGTGACGGGTCTCCTCTGCGACCTTTTGCCCAAGTGCACTGAAATATTTATTCTTCAGCGATGATCTTATCATCAGTTAATAAAGAAAACTTGCTGAGACCAGCTTTTTGTATCGTAAATCATTCAATATTTTTCTTCCCTTTCTTTCCTTTCCTATTTTTACTGTTTATTAGCTTGTTTTTATAGTAATTAGCTTTAGTATTTTTGATAAGGTGATTCAAGCTATTGCAACAACTCTTATATAATTATGATACAATGGTGTACATTCACGACACAGTATTGATAACGAAGACAGACAATTTAATTTCAAATGTTGTCGTACAGCAAATGATTGTCAACGTGATTGTACTTTGGACTCACCACGTCAATGACTCGAATCGTTATATGGATTATTATGTGCCAGGGAAAAAAATTTCTTGTTGGGGTAAAAAGCCATCACCACAATGCAAAAGAGTACGTGGGCAATATGTTCCTTCGTATCCTCTCAAAGTATATTGTACCGATATTGCTAATTTGCTATATCGGTGTTTTAGTGCATGGGACAAATAATTCAGTCAAACATTATCGAACATTCCTGAACTCTGACTATAAAATGAACTAGAAAAAAAAGATAGAGTAGGATTGAAAAAACGTTGCCATTCCTGATAGAGCCACGAGTGACGAGTCCGTCTCTTAAATCGCTCATGATCGCTCTTTAATCCAGTTCCTTTTGTATTTTATCATAGGGACAGAAGATAGAAATTCTTCGTCTGCATGTGGACAAGGCAAAATTGTCTTTGTTAAACAGTTAATACTTTATGTCATTGATAGATGTAACGAACTCTTGCATCCCCTTTGTAAAGCATATTAAAAGATACAACTCACTATTTCATCTAGTTCACATACGTTCTTGCAGCATTGTTTGCTTTCCAAAGATTCTGGACGATCGATTCTCACGAAATATAGATTAGAAGTGTATATTTCAACATAAAAAATATCGAACTTTAACCATTAAGCTACAGATAATGTTGCTGGTGGAAGAAAGTGTTACTTAATATCTGCACTGAAATAAATATAATTATAATTATTACTTTATGCCTGGGACAGCCAGTCACGTTGCAAAAACACTAAATGACCAACACTGGCAGCAGTCTAGCATTTCAAAGTTCATGCATTTTTTATTATACATAAAGCGGATTTCATTGATAAATTCATTATTTGTGATACAAGTGTAGTCAAAATGAAATAAAATTTTATCCGCACCTCGTCATTTTGATGAAAAAATATTTTTCAGAGTTCAAACATGGTCAGTGGCAGCAGCCATGTTTTTTGTTTTATTTTCTCCAGGAATTATAGTATTATAATAAGCGGAAAACATGGTGCTGCCGTCATGTTACGTGAACGAAATATCCGTACCCGAACACCGAAACCGGGGTATCTTAACCTCTCTATAGTTAAAGTTAGAATAAATCTATTCTTTCGTTTTAGTTAATAAATTATAAAATGTTACATTGTGTTGTATTGTGTTGAACTTCCCCCAACATTGACAATATGAACCGTACTTGCGCAGACTAACTTTGTTTCATTGAAACATACATATTTTATATTCAGCGCAATCAACGTAAAAGAACAATGATTGTATGACTCAGGTGATACACTGGGTCCACTGCGACCACTGGTTTACTTAGCCTCAGGTGAACTTTTAATACTGGATCCCAATCTAGTCTCTCAGTTGAAGACATACAGTCGCACAATAAATTTAGTATCACGAGCAAATTACTGCGCGCGTAAGCTGTCAAGATCTAGATTCTATTACATTACTCGTGTAGCAAAACAGCACAGCAAACAGTGGAGATATTTAGCAGAATAATAATACCCACTGTTAACGAAATACGTATGAACATCTCACCTTTTAGTCCCTCCAGCGCATCATTCACAATTCTCTCAACTTCCCGTCGTTCTCCACGTGAACAATGCGGTGGTAAAGAAAATCCACGAATTGAACGTCCAGTGCGCACGCGCGAAGATAACACGTATTTATCATCCAGGACTCCTCCTTTTAGCCTTTGATAATCCAAATCTGTCTTGTGTTTATCAGTTTTCTTAAAGCCATTGTGTCTTTCTTCAATAATTGGATCAAACAGATCAGAGAATACTTCATAACTCTCTTCATCTCCGGCGACAATACCAACAGTGGAAATAAACGGATGTCCTGGGTTATCCACTCCAGTCTGGATTGCTTGATCTAACGTGAATCCAGATTTTGTAGATTTATCACGAAGTTTGGAGTAGATCCTTGGAGTTAAATGTTTAGCCATGAGGTTATTGTGTCCTCGAAGATCTGGATAATCCAACGAGGGAGAAAGTTTTCTTATTTTCGCAGCTTGTAAACTTTGACCATGTAGAAAACCAGTAGCGACCATACCTCCAGCGGCCAAGATACCTCCCGCACTCATCAGCAGGCGACGTTGTGCAAAAAATGCCATTCTAAAGCTATGGATTCACGTGAAATTGAGTAGATGTTCGTCTCAGAACGCGCAATTAGAAATAATTAACAACCTAATTAGTCTCTTATTAACATCCACACGATTAGACATACGTTTGTGACGTTTTCTAATTGGTCGACCGCGTGAAGTGAACTGGGTTCAGAAAAGTCGTGAACACAATTATTTAGTTAAAAACAAGAAAGAATGACAAATGCTTTAACCATGATTATGCTCAAAGGATTAAAAACTCGCTGCTGTAGCTTACCGTTTGGAAGTAGTAACTAGTAAGGACTCCAAATCATCAGAGGGACCTAATGTCGAGCTCGTCGACGTCTTCCGTACCTAAAGACTGTAACTTAATGGCTAATCTCATGGGTTAATTTGACACAAAACGAACCGAGTACGAGAGCGAAGTTTAAAACCATCGCTGCTAAAACCAAAGTAATTTAGGGGCAAATTTTTAGATTTTTGCACACCGTTGAGTGATTGAATATAGTGAAAGCAACCCTGCAATGAAAATAACTATTTGCACGGCTAGACTGAGCAATGAAAACTTGCATTGCACAGTCAGTAAAATGAAAATTCTTATTTAAAGCCACGTGATCAAAAACAACCAATTAAAAGACATTATATTAATAAGGTGTTATGCTTGGTGTGGAGGCACGTTTCTGTTGCACTTAATACTTTAACCCTATCGTGGGAAGAAAATTCACAATCATGTGGCGCAGTCAGGCTGTTTTCTTTTCGAAAGAGTCTGGTAACGAGGTCTGCTTGGCTGACGCAGAACATGACTTTTTATATGCACGAATGAAAATGTCCATACACATAATATGCCATTCAACGGAAACGCCAATGAGAACATTTTTGAAAACGTTTTGTGTCCATTTCTCAAAGCATCCTAGTTTCCCTTTCCCTCTATGGTAAACGATGATCACGTTTGAGAAATATTCCTTTGCAACATGAAGACAACAAAGGTACACTGGGTTCGCACAGTTTTAAAAACTGGATTATGATTGCCATAAAGATTATTGTGAGTTATTATTAATTAATCATCCGGTGAAATCCTGACTGCTAAAAGTAACCTGCACAGCACGAGGTAAAGATAGGGGGGGGGGGTTGGGGAAATAGATAGCTATTTTTAATTGCCAAGTGACAAAAATAATAGCTCTGGTGAGGGCTTGGGTTGGAACTAAGCAAAAATTACGACCAAAAGAGTAATTTACGATACAACGATCTTTAAAGGATTTTTTTTCACAACAATCTACAGTAAGAATTTAAATTGTGTTCTATTTGATCGCTATTCACTAAAAGGTTAAATTTAATCGATTGTATTTTTGTCACTATGAGTAAGTCCACATATGATAAATGGGACATGAAACGAATGATATGGATGGATTTTTGGAAGTTTATTTTTTCTCACAATCGCATCACATCCTATACTGTATGATACAGCACGAATATTCCTCAAAACCAGTTATACATGAATCTAATTACTTTAGTATAATCAAGATAAACAATGAAATAAAACAATTACTACCTTAGCGCCACATCTGTCTTAAAACTTTTACTGAAGCAAACCTAGCAGAAACTAAAGTAACGATTGCTAAAAGGATCAGCGTGGCTGAAATAAACCAATAATCAAAATCTTCCTTCAAAACATCAAATAAACGTGAAGGGGTAACGCGTGTGAAATAAAGATCTAAACCATACGTAAATACCAAACATGTTGATTCAAGTCCTGCGGGAGATGTGTAAATTCCTTCAATGTTGCTCACTAAAAACACACAAACAAAGACTAAATTTTTATCACATGTTGGTCTCAAAACATGAAAAATTGGTCAATTGCCATACAGATAGCAAAACTTGCGTTTTTGCAGGATAGCCTGGGGAAATCTGAGACAATTTCTATTATATTTATATTATTGAAGACAAATTTCATGACAACAAAATACAATTTGTTTCTCGGAATATTTCTGTAACTGGAGTGGAATAACTTACCAGTTTGGTTATAATTGATAAAAGAAGTTGTCATTAATGGCAACTCCGGTATGTAGGGCATTAATCCTTCCTCTCGTAATCTTGGGGAATCTGTTAAATTTCTCCTCGGATCAAGAAACATCTTCGGTAAAGAATAAATATATCCCAGACTCACACCGACTAACAACGTTTTCTTTGTGATACCAGCATTGGTGATGGTGGTGGTCATCGAATCTACGTTGAAGGGGAAGATGTACGATTGCTGTAGTACCATAGGGGAAACAGGAGGATCAAGTGAGGAAAATGCAGTACTGTTCCGTTCTTGATAACCCTCATATAACTCAAGTACAGCTAACTCATGACGCCGTGCCTTTGTGTTGTAATATTTATAAATTATCCAGTTCTCAGAATGAACCACATGAAGAGGCCCCTGAGCATTTCTGTGTCGTCCATGATGAATTATATTTCCTTAAAATGAAACCCGAACTATAGTTACAGGAATACGTAGTAGAGCCAGAATGAAATCAAAGAATTGATAACTTTTGAATAGGGGTGTCAAAATTGTCGAAAATGTGCCTTCTAAACAGCAAGAAATAAAAAGTTATCCCTATCATCAATACCTGAATACCATCCACTAATATATTACATATATATAAAATCTTATCATGTAAACTTATTCTCTAGCATCCATTCCTTTTTAATACTGTACAATTCCAATTCTTCGTAAAGTCGTGAACCTTCGCGGCCCGAAACATTTATTTTCGGCAGCCAATTCCACGTTTGCATATGATAGATAGAAAAGACGATATATATGCTTCACAATCACGAGCGGTTTAGACCAAACAAACGCGAAAAATGACGTCTGGATTCACAGATCACGGATGCAAGTTCGTCTGACAATCTGGCTCAAGGCAAGGGATGAAAGTCAGGGATAATAAAACATCTAAAATACCTGTGACTGAGTCAATAAGGAAAATATGAACTGTTGGCTTTGAGATTGAAGGAGATCTTGTTACAACGGCCATTAGGTTTGGATTTAAATATTTATACAACACTCTGCGATCACCCAACACCCGACCTGGAGAATGCACATGCTCACCAAGCCTCTTAAAAACTGAAAAAAAAGAAAATTATTTAAAAATACCTCAGTGATTACCATTCATGATAAAAGCTGCATGCCATAGGTATGAGCATTGTAAATTCACCCTCTTACCAATTTGATCAATGATGTGTTCAGAAGGTGATAAAGGAATCTTCCAAACTTCTTCAAGTGCCATTTGCTCTGCATTTACAACATACCCTTTCAGTTCCATTTTATCAGCAATATGAATAAATATTGATTTAGACTTGGCGTTAATAATGGACAGAGCTCTCTTGTTATTTGGATAGACATGAGCATTTAGGGATGTGTCAACCACTAGGAGGAGTTTGGAGAATTTATCATCTGCAACAGAATATCAATAATTTCAGTGTACAGAATACTCCTGATTGGAACTTGTCTGTGTCCTCAGACAAAGCATTGACTAGCTTACTTACCATGGTATGGTAACAACATAGTCTGATGTATATTGTAGGGTAACCTCTCACCATGAGGCGTTCTTGGATCAATAGATTGTCCAGTTGAAGGATTGAATGTAAACATGACAGAACCTTGTCCTGATTGCGACCTTCCCACAACTACACATTGTGGTACAAGGGGGAAATGTGCGACACTTCTCTGCATATATAACAGAGATTTTCCATTTGTTACAAATGGTGCCATGTCTGGAATAAATTGTTGCCAAATAATAGAACCATCTAAAGAGAAATATTTGAAACTTATTTTACTGTTCCTGAAGTGCAGTTGTGGTTGTGGTTGTAGATTAAAATCATCTTAAGACAAAATCTGATAAATATAGTGATTAATACAAAGGATCGTCAATACTAGCAAATATAAAAATCTACCTATTGTATCCAAACCAAATAACTTTCCAGATGCAGTAACAACAACAATAATCTTCCGTAAATCAAACTGATCTCTTGTTAGATCCTCCCCATTCTTCTGATCATCACTCTCTCCAAGGTTTTCCTCTCGTTCAATATTCAAACTTGCCAAAAATGCTTGAAACTGTTGGAACTGGGCCTGGATTCGTTGAGAGAACATTGAAAAGACTTTTCCTACATGAGAAATTATGCAGCAACTATTTCACTAAATTATTCTGGCAGAAACAATACATGTTCTGGTATTTTATAGCAATATTTAAGAAAGCATGATACATTTTTCATTCATTTGATACAAGTAAATTATACCTGTGCCATGCAGTAACCTACACTGGTTTAGATGATCCCAAAATTTTGCGAGACTCAAAGTCAAAGCGTATTTACACACACATGTAACTTCTGTTGTATAACTTATCATTTTAGTGTACACTAGGGTAAAAAATAACTATTTCTAAAAAAATTGTTGATTAAATATCAACAAACATCTATCACAAATGTTTCTCTTACCATCATGATGGTAACCAAACTCTCTCTGCAAGGCTTCAAAGTTTGCTTGTTGTGGAGAAACAGGCAACTCTATCATTTCAACAGCAGTAATAGAAGCCAAGGATTCTTCTCTTGTCCAAAATATACGACCAGTATGCTGTGAGAGTGAGACTGAGTAGTCTTCAAATATTGTTAAGACTCTGTAACCAATTGAATTATCTTTACGTAAAAAGAAATGAGTGAATATGTTGACAGGCTTGCCATGGTGCGATGGAAAAGACAATGTTTGTACCATATCTTCAATCTCAGACATTGTGTCACCATTATAACATTTTAACTCCATACCACTGGTTGACAATGTTGCTGTCATCAACAACACCTCAGCACCAAAAGATGAAGTATGAAACAACATTTCTTCATTGTATTCCTGCAGTAATACTATCGAATTGTCTTCGTTCAACTTTAACAACATTGAATGTTTTTCTGACAATTGCAAAACACATTCTCTGCGACTCTGAGTTATTGAAAGTGAGTGTGGGAGATATAGAGTCAGTTTTTCAACATTTTTTAAAACCTTTGAAGATAGTGATGAAATTTGAGTGCTCTGAACTGAAATTCCTTCACTCTGTAATTGTAATGTATGTAAAATTTTTTCAACAGGGTCAGCACACATGAGAACATTAGAGATAAATATACAAGAGGTTTCTTTATGAAATAGCCATGGAACAACAACTGTGTGGACGTTTTCTTCCTTCCCTGTCTCAATATTCAGTTTCTGCATGAATATTTCATCATTCTGACTGCCAAGAGTGAATAAACTGTCATCATTGAACATTAAACCAAATAAATATCTATCTAACGTTTCTTCCTTCACCCAAATTTCTTTTCCGGAAGCAATAGAGTAAGCCTTGACATTATTCCCAGCCATAGCAAAGACGTTTTGCGTATGTTCATCAGAGACAATCGCATCAACAGACTTTAAACCACGCGCCAATGGCTTCTTCATCAAACTCTCATCAACTCCAAATGTGTTTTCCCAAATGATATTTCCATTCGCCGGATCCCAAGAACGTAAAAACTTTCCGTGTCCAGATAAACTAATCAAGGTTTCCGAAAAATAAAGCAGTTTGTCAATAGTATTATTACTTCTTTCTAGTACACGACGCCATATAAGATTACCGGTTCTTGAGTTCAGTGCAGCCAAAACGTTTTCTTCGGAAGATACGATAATTCTCTTGTTATTTGCAGCCGATCCATCAAAATTTACGTAATTTAGTTTCCCTACAAATCTTTTTCTCCAATCGAAAAATCCAATTTGATCTTCATACAGGCAATACGTTAACGAAAAAAGCAGTATAGACAAGAAAAGATAAAGTAAAATTAATCGTAAAAATTGCAAGTAAACCACCGCCATCTTGGAAGAGCACGTGGCTACAAATACCGATCGGAAGTCCGTTCTTCATTAAAATCAGTGATTAAAATGAAAGGGCATCTTTGCCCCCCTTCCCTTCCTTTCCTTGCCCCTGCTGCCTGCTGGAAAAAGGCAAGGGGGCAGCCGCCCCTTGTTCCGACGATGATTATTTTTTTGTTTTGAAAAGCTGCAGGTTTTCGATCAAATAAGGTAAAAGGAAAATCCCTAGGGGCAAAGCTGAGTGAAGATAATTCTATCCAGGCTGTAAGAATCGTACTTTTTTGCTTCGGTGTGAATGTAGTAAGTTATTAACACAACCAGGTTATTGTACATCAACAATAATCGCCTATATTAATAACTACCTAGCAGAGCACCGACACCGTTTATTGGCTAATGCTCAGGCACGAATAAACAAAGGGTCGATATATAATATAACGATAAAAAGGTCAATCTTTAAGATACAACTGTCAGTCTATCCAATATACGAAGATGATAAAAATTTCTCCAGCTATCTAAAAGCTGCGAGTCTGGTCATAAAGTCTTCATTCATATAACCCGGACACTTCAAATTCGGGGGTTTAGGGTCTAACTTGGGTAGCTTTATTATACAGATCATGATAGATTGTCTGCAGTGATTGATCAAATGTTTGACGATGGTCAAGACCAGTGTACAAATATTTCTTATTGGACCAATATTCGTTGTCATCTAGAGGAACTGTGATACTAAACATAAAAAAATCTAAAATGAAAAAGAAACCTTGCCATCCCAGGTATAGGAATGAAACATGTCCAAGCAACTGTGTGAAATTTAGGAACTATGCAGTATACCAGTTTACTGATATCCTACTATAAAATGTTAGCTGGTAATAAACATATATAAAAACGATATACTTTGTTAATTTCGGTATTATAAATCGTAAATAATTTAAAGAACAAAAATTAAAGTCAAAGTTGATTAACTCGTTTAACCTTAATATATTCATAACCCGATTAATTCAGTTCTTGATAAGGATGGTAGGGGTCAAAAGATTTACCTTTGATTTAGATGAATATCCATTGAAAATTACCTGACTCAACGTCTATTTAAGCTGAAAATACATTATTACGGAAACTTTGCAATCTTTGTTGATGTTTACTTTTTACTATGATTCAAGTTGTTTCCAGTTCCAAGACAACGGAACCAGACGGGGTTTACAGATGAGTGTGCAGGAAAGTGACAAGGGTGTGTGTGGTGCAGGTATGCATGCAGTGTCGGGGAAGAGTATAACTGTCGGGGGAGAGTATAACTATCGGGGGTGAGTTGTCCCGGTGTGTGCAGGGTGTGTAGTGACGCGCAATTCGCTTTATGTGTGTGGTGCAAGGGTATGGTGCCAACCTCGTACCCAGGATCTTTTGGTGTGGTGAAAGGTTGGAGACATTAAGCATTTTACGTAGTCTTATGTTCAAACAGTTACAATTAGTTTAAAGTTAAATTTAATAAATTAGTTAATGTCAATTAAATGGTAATTACCATGATTAAATTGTACAAATAAACTCCAACACCACTGTACATTGTCAGTTTACATTTCCGCCCATAAAAGAGAAACTTAAAATTACCTCCGATCAAGTCTAACACCAAGAGATGGGTTTTCCGGATCGTCATAGGAACGATTTAGGGCTTCTTCTCTTGCGTCGTCTATCTCAGACCTTTGTTAAATATAACAGAAAACTATTAATAAATGTTTTAATACGTTTAGGAAAAACTATTAACTACGTTTTATAAGAATTAGAGCATCGCCCAAACCTCAATTCCTGCAAAGAAAATAAGCTATCTTGATCTGAATCCACGTCTGAAGAACTACTATAGCCATTCTTATTAGAAAGAGAAATAGCAAAAGTTAACCGAGCGTGAGGGTCCGAAATGGAGAAATAACGAGCTTTGACGTTCACTAACATAAATATATAACACAACTACATATAAATTATCAATTAACACATGGGATGATCTATGAGATCAAGCAATCATGAACGCATGTACAACTGAGAATAAATGATGTGGAGCTCCATCTGGGAAACAACTTTCACCTGCATTAGAAATACGCCGAAAAAGCAATACTGTTGATATCTTTTTATAGACGACCAAACGCATAAGGTGAATTACGAAGCTATTAAAAAAGTGTCTATTGTGCTACTCAATCGCCTGTAAGATTGAATTACTTACTGAGTATACTTTGGTTTTCGCCAACAATTTCTTGACTCTTTCATGCATTTCATCAGAATTCGATGAGGACTCTTTATAAGAACTGTATCCTTCAGATTCCGCATGAAAGATTTTCTTTCTTTCAGAAAGTGGTCGACTGTATGCTACGTCATCCGACGTAGGCGCGCTGCCAGGGAGCCTAGCACGAGCTGGTGTCTGATACATTGCCAGAGATGGAGTGGAAGCGGAGCGTAGTTGGCGGTCTGGTCCAAAGCGATATTGCAGAAATTCATTGCCATACACTTTGAAATACGCTTGACAGACTAAACAATCTTTGTGAGGTACTCGGCAATCCTGACAGGGTACTGAATAAAAATCAATTATTAGTTGAGTGAATCTTGACTGCGTTACTGCGTTACAGAAAGCCATGTCCAAACGAAAGAAGACATTAAAAGTACTTGAATACACTACAGTAAATATTGGCTGTGATAATTACCCAAGGCCGATCCCCACACGGGCCTAAACATATGCAGTAAGTTTTACGAAATCCTGAGAGCGTCAATAAAAATGAAAAATACTAGCTATCTTATAAAAATTGCACCATAGAATACGACCCACCCGATGCTCCTCAAGGGTACAAGCCAGGGCTAATAATACTGTATTAAACTCCATGATTGGTGAAAATGTACAAAAAACGAGGAACGTTTTACAGTTTAAGATTTCGTATCAAGCTAAATTGAATTACTTACAAGGATCACCATCAGCAGGTAATGGTGTACTTGGTAAACTGCTTCTCATCTTAGCTCTACGTTTCATGCTGGGACTAGGAGGGAAATCACGACGTGATATTATACTTTCATCAGCTTTTCCTGTCTTGAATGGAGGCTTAGGATCACCAGATCTCCGACGTAAAGAACGTTTTAATCTTGGAGATAATGATCTTGATTTTACGACAACTTCACCATTATTTTCAGGTCGTCTTGGGCATTCACAAACACAGTGTTTTTGAGTGCGCTTTGGGGTTTTTGAATGAACAGGTTTGGGAGTTTGTACACGTGTTGAATGCATAATAGGAACTGTTTCTTCTTCCTGTTCAGAGGTGGAGGAATCACTTTGCTATATTTTGAAAATCATAAAAATAATTCAATTACGAAATGCCCGAGGAGTTGTGTCTTTGGGATCTTGTTTAAATGCGATTTACATTATTTTGCAATATTCTATTTACGGACTGACACCGTTATAACAAAAGTTTATGCTGTATTTATCAGCCTCCTGGGTTAAAAACTTGGCTTTATTATATAAAAGGATTGGTATACATACACATTGGCTAGAACGGATTATAGTTTAGCTTTTGACCCGTGTTGAGTCAATCGATAATTTAAAGATAAGTGTCTCACATGTTGTATTTCATTGTCAGGTGGCAAAAAAGGAGGATTTTCCAGCAAAGTTCGATGTAAAGATGTTGAAACTCTGGCTTCCTGCATAGTTGTACTTGTTGAAAACTCTAATTTAGGATTGATACCCTAGACAAGAACACAGTCATACATAAATGATATATTAAATATGTCTTACAGATAATACTATAGCAATGATGCTACTGGCATTCTGGAAATTTCTGTTTTGTGGGTGTCATTCACATGCATACAATACACAAAATTTAATTCAAGCAAAATCTACAGTATATACATACAGTATGAAACAATAATAACACATATAAGGACATATTATCTTATACCACTTTTTTACCTGGAATTTTGCTGTTCTACTGAGAAGAATTTCCCGATCAAGACCATCTTTTTTAGTGAGTGTTTTATCAGGAAATAAAAACTTCCTAGAACTTTCTTCATAAAATGCCAGAAGTTTACCACCTTCATTGAAATTTTAAATTTAGTATGTAAAGGTTAAATGCATAATAGAAAAAGTAGAATAGTAATGTTGATAAAAAAATTTATAAAGTGTCATTGTTACTTATGATTGGATGTTACCTTGACGACGTTCAGAATATTGTAACAATTCAATGGTAACGTTTTCATCTGAAAAAAATATATAAACACTAATCATGTACAATATTTTATAAGCTTTGAGGCAACAAAAAATGTGTCAACTATCAGTCCTACATGCATTTAATTAGATAAAAATTAAATAAAATCACATATACAGAGAAGATTCACAAGGTGAGAAACAATATACATGGGTGCATGGTTATATATAATTTGTAGTTTTATTAGGGCAATGGAAGACTTCAAACAATTGCACAAATATTTGTACAATGTTTTATAGTTTGCCAGATATTTAAATATTTGAATATCAAATGCTTACCTTCTAACATTTCCATTACTTGATCTGGTTCTCTTGCATTCACATATGTCTGGTAAAATATACAAATGACATTTGCTGATTAAACCAACACTATTGAGAGAATAATGTCAATTCTAAAAATGAACCATACTACATAAGATGATGTGAAACACTTTAGGGGTTAAGATCGTTAAATTTAGATTTCAACAAATATAATTTACATTTTTTGTGATAATTTTTAAGCTTTTGTAGAAAGTAATATTCTATGTACCCCCTCCCCCCTGACTGCATTGGTATAAATCTTGATAAATATAGTTTCAATGTTCTCTGGTAGAATGCAAATGAAAATGGTTTATAAACCTATCATGGTTAGTCTGCAAGTAACTAAAGGGTGTACAACATCATACCATGCGATGGATTATTGTCTGTATTGCACAAAGAGTACATTTAACGTTTACATTCATAAATATACTAACCTTTTCATAGTATAGTCTCTCATTGAATATCAAAGGGAATGATGCATAAACAGATTTTGTCCGCTTAGAGGAGTTAAGAAGCGATATCCTAAGGAAGAGCATATTTCTATTCGAGAGATGTCTTGTGCCAGGACATGAGACCTAAAAAATATAGACCTACATTGATCTACTTATCCATTTTGATAACACCAAGCTCTGAAGCTCATGTCAGACTCGTCTAGATTCTATTAAACTTGATCTGCAGCAAACTAAATATGTTTGAAAAAGAATTTTCACTGACCAAGTGAATATCAAGCTTAACTTCACACGAAAAACCTTTTCTATCCATCTATTAAAAAGGTAAATAACTTCTAGAAGAAATTTGAATTTTCATCAACGACAAACCAACACTTATGTTGCTCTGCTGCTTCTATGGACGCCATAAGTTGAATTTCATTGGCTGATTCAGCTTGACCAAAACCACCGGAACTTTGCACTACCGGGACTGGAGTCAGTTACCTACTTTCAGTACTTTGCAATCAGCAAAGGTTGAAAAAGAAATTAAAATGAAAATGTTTTTATATTTCCTCAAATCAACGCCCGTAAATTAAAGCACAAGTAATTTCTGTTTCTCAACTTTTTCAACTATTAAATTATATGCACACGTAAACATTGGAACCATAAGAAGAAATACAATAAGTCTAGTTACTAAAACTGTAAAAACCTCTTAAAACGTAATAAATACATGCATATAAAATATAACAGAAGTAAAATTTTCAAAGTTGATACTTCCTAGGTTATGATAAAAACTAAACTATAAAATCGCCAGTGCGTATATAATTATATATATATATATATATTCAAAAGTCTCCAATCTCCATTCATAACTTTTCTAAATACTGACCGCAGATGACCAATTATGCAAAAAACATAGCTGCATTTGCACAATGAGGACAGGTTTCTGCATGCTGCACAAAAAGTTGAAAGGTTCGTCTTAACTCAGTCAGTTCATTTTCAGTTAGAGCGATGTGTTCCTGCAGGCGCTGATTTTCAAATTCAAGACTTTCCATACGTTGACGTTTTCTTTTTCTGTACAAACGACTGCTAACGACATTTCTTTCTCTTCTTCGTCGAAAATGATCGCTTGCATCTGATGCAAGTGGACGATGACAATTTGTCCTGTTATCGAGGACAACTGGGCTGTTTTCATCCAAGCAATGAAGCGCCTGAAATGGAGGTTCATTAAAGCGGACTAAAGACAATGTTTTCTCCATTAATTCTTCGCCAACAACATTACAGCCAACACTCATTCTGTAATCAAAATATTTTCGAGAAAATTTCTGTGGTTTCTGTCAATATGGAACCGGCAAAATTTAAAAAATTATGAAAAAAAGCACATATTTAAGTACGTCTGTGCTATGGTCTGTGTTTTTTACCACCCAGTGGCGTCAGCAAAAAAGCCAAAAAGGCGCAAGACATTGCTTCCACTTTGTAGCAGAAATTTCGATGGTGTGGTGAATATATTGGTGAATATGGTGGTGAAGCGATTTGTAATAAATGTTTTATAAATGTATCGGCTTTCAAGCTTAATTGCTCCCAGTAGTACCAGATCGGAGAGAATTTAGAGAGAGGTCACTATTAAATCTTCGATTAGCTTTTGGTAGGGAATTCCATAAAGAGACAAGAATCTCTATCTCAAGTAACTAGAGTTAGAAGTTGATAATAGTAACAACCAGACCCAAAACAGTGCCCATTCATAATGGAACAAAAGTTTTTCTATATGTTACATCATTTTGAATTCAAGGTCGTGAATAGAAAATACTACATCATCCGCAGATTAAATAAATACTCCCTAATGTATAAATTAGTTATTAAACTACCTTTGATACAATATTTACATAAAGATTGTTGCCATTGTTCGCATTTACGATTAGATTAGGGAGACTCCCTCCAAAGACTATCTTGTTTGGAGGATATAAATGTTAGTAACTGATCTAGTACGGTGAAAGCCGAGATCATCAGAACTGTGTGTGAGCTGTGCGAGTTTATATTTTAACTATACAGTCAGTCTAGACTAGTAGAGGACACTCCACACCTCCGTCAGTCGATTACGTTCTCACTATATTAATGAGTTAGCAAACCACATTGTGGTTAAACTTACACCAAAATTTTAAAATCCTAGAAGGTCCATCAACTGCCAAAACTGGGCATGTGTAATCCTTCAACATGTCGTAATTTTGTGGGAACCTCTACACTACTTTTTGACATATTCTGTTCGCGATACAAAAAAACAAAACAATTACGAACAGGGGAGAAAACATAACCTTCTGGCGGAGGTAATATTGGTAGCACCTTCAAATAACTTCATTTGATTTAGAGGCCTGATCACTTTTGGACATTACACATCTGCATAATTAGCTTTACGAATTCTGTCCACTTCTTGTCACATAACTTGAGTTTGGCTAAAATTTAAAACGAGGTTACATAGAAACCAAAGCAACTTATTGTATTGGGTTATACATACATTACCATTGCGATATGTTGAATTTATGTTGCCGCAAAAACATAGACCACAAGAAGACATTCTTTACATAATGAAACAACTCGACGACAGCAAGACATTTCTAGCTACAAAGAAAGATAATTCATTTCATGAAATGCATATTATTATTACTAACCGGCAAATCTTGAGTTGTGGACAAGCGATAGCATATAGTCATGCATGGGGCTGGACATAAAAAACTTTACTAAGAAAATTTCAGTGTTTATAAGAGACTTTAATTTTACTTACAGGAGCAAGGGTATCTGTACTTTTAATAAACATGGTCTCCCAAGAATCACTACATTAAATTTAAAATGTTATAGTTAGGCCTAAATTATTCACAACAACAACATGGATTTACAACTAAACAAGTTAAACCAAACCAGGAATATTGTGTTTCTTTGGCTCCTCCGGTATAAATCGAGCTAGTATCGCTATCTTAATTTAACAAGCGGTTATCATCACCAAGTATAGTTCCTTAATTCTACCGTCATTCGCGCATTCGTGCCCAACCTACAAACCCGCTGTAATTGGCTGGCGCGGTCACCCAACCATCAAGTTTATGCAAAAATCAACCATATTCTGAGACTCAATTGCGGCCAAAAATCACTTCCCATACTAGTGGGCAACTACTAATACAGTGTTTGAACAATACAGTGTTTGACCACTGATAAAATTACGGCCATCCTATATCAAAGTTTGTTAATCAGACCATCAGTAATTAGACCATGAGAGCAGCTAAAATTCACATACAACTCATACCAATTTGAGCAGGACTAAAACTGGCCTTCATTGCGTTGGGAATAAAACTGAATAACTTACGGAAACACTGAGAAGCAATTCCATAATCCCTGTCCATGACTCCATAACATTCTATTAAATATTTTTGTAAACAATCTTGACAGTTTTAATTTATCCAGATCACTAACTCCCCAAACTCTTTGCAAGATCGACCTAACATTTCCTTTGACGATATCAATCACCTACAAAAAAAACTGCAGAATTGTTTCCTACCGGACTATTCATAATGCATGAAGTGCATTTGCAAGAAATCCAAATTGAAATTTGAACTGGTTTCTTTAAATACTGGAAGTTTCCGAGAAAGCAATCGTAAGGATGCTCCGGGACTGGGGCCGGGTGACACTGTTGGTTCATTGTTAATACCAAAATTATTAAAATTAAAAAGATATTAAATATCAATGCTAGTCTCAGTAGATGTTTTGCAATTCAGGAGAAAAACACACAAATCATATTGCTTTTTAGACAAAAATGTTTAAATATAATAAGTTTTTCCAAACGAGAAAAAAGTTTATTTTTAATAAGTTATAAGACGTCCGCAATATGAAATTCGATGCCGGTCGAGAATATAGTTATTTACGTTTGTTTGACTCTATCGGACAGGCATCTCTATCAGAAAGTACCTTTCGTCTCTTTGAGAAGTCCAACTTCACTAACCAATAATTCGCAACTCTTTCCTTGTGGTACTTCCAATTTTCATTTATCTTCAAACATAATTAAATAATATTTTAAAAAAACATCATCTCACTTTTATTGTCGTGTCTCTGGTTTAGGCAAGACGACTTACATGGTTTATGATAAGCACAGCTTCTTCCTCTGTCTTTCCTGGAAATTTTATGTTCATTTCGCCAAGTAACATCAAAGTTCGTCGTGTTAACTCCTCGTCTTTTTCCGCATTCTGAAGAATAATATATAAATCAAAAGAAAATATTAGTAAATATCATAAAAATATTTTTCTGTAAAGCATGTCAAGTTGTTTCATATGTTATGTAATACAATTATATTAAAAACTTAGAGAAACTATAGTTTGTAAGCAAATGACACACTTGTGAGCCTGGACGACATCTGCTCAGGTTTATTGAAGATCTTGATATTCTTGATCTTCTCAGTGAAGTGGAAGATGAAGTGGCCGATGAAGGTCTTTTTTGAAAATGACAGGCTGTAGCTGGTCTTAATGGCTTGCTTTGTTTTGAATCATCGCGTAAATTGTTCATGTTTGGGCGTAAGTGGGACTGAGAGAAATTATTATAGTCCTCCTCTTCGTCATCTGCTGAGTCATAATTGACATCACTAGGTTTGGCGCAGGGCATTGATGACAATGGCTAAAATATATCAATATTTCGTCATTGCTTGGGCAATCCATGTGTGGAACATGCCATAACTTGATACTATATTTTTACGACGAGATATTATGTTCATTTTATTACTTATGACAACTTTTACTATACTGCATTGTCTGCACGAATACTGTACTTTACCAAAGACCTAGGATCAATTCTGTTGTTCTCTGATGATACTATATTTGCTCGAATGGGAACATGTATTCACTATCTTTATCTTATAATTATAAGTGCCCTTTGGTTTTTTAGCCAACCTAAACTTACCAAACCAAAATAGTAAAGAACATTGTAACCTGAGAATATTTTTTATGGATAGCTAAATTAAGATATAAACCTTTGGCCCTTTCATAGATGGTTGATCATTTTCCAAGAACGCGAGTTCGTCAGCTTCACATTGTTCTAAGAGATCCAATATATCTTCTTCCTAAAATAGCGTAAAGTAGAGTAATTAAGTACTCTAAACAGTTATCCACATTCATTTACCATGCTGATCATTCGAGATATATGAAATATGCATAAATATACCAAAAACGTTTTTCATCGCAAATACCTTTAATGTGCTGAATGGAGAATAGGATTTCTTTTGATTAACTGTCGATGTTTTTCCTAAAGATAATGAAATAGCTCAAAATACGTACCATCATGATATATGATAAAATAATCTGGGCATTTTGGTAAAACTATAACTATAAACTATATTGTTGTATTTACGCCATTGGCGCGGTATAACACTTTGCAAACTCCATAATCAACCATGCAGATCTCTCGCCAAACTCAATTCATTTTCAAAACGACTGCTGTTTTCTCATCGCTCACTACCAAGGGCAAATTTTTGGAATGATTTAGGTAGGACATTTTTTCATTCGTGAAAATCAGTTGTGTTGACATGGACCATCGGCAAAAATTAATTGTTAGTTTAGTGTAAACACGTTTGGATAAAAATTTGAAATACATCGCTACCTGTAGAAAATAGTTTCAATGCTCCATCAAGTAAGTTGAGGTAAGATTGTAATTTTTCTTTATCACGAGGTGGATATATTCTCCTATAGTGACCCTGAAAATGAAATATAAGAACTAGGTCCGAGCCCGTCCGATTTAACAAATATTCAGGCCTTGGACTTAACGTTTGAGCCATATTTTCCTTAAATTTTGTACATTCTATCGACACAAAATACACATTATTACTACAAACCGAGTTTCTAAATTCATAATCTTCTTTAGCTGCATCAGTACGAATGCGGAAAAGTTGTTCCTTCTAAAAAAAAAAATTATCAAAAACATAATTAAAAATAGTTCTGAAATCACCCGGATGCAATATGTCAACAGCTCACCAGTTGCACTATTCTTTTCTCTAAGGTCATTTTTCTTGCTGCATCTTCCTAAGAAAACAAATGAAAGCCTATTAAAAGGAAATTTTATTTGAAAACTCCGTATTTGTCAGATCCTGTGTTCAGACATACCGATATTTCAAGTTCACTTCTTCGTGGCTGCAACATTAATCTTCTCCGACTCTGTTCTTTAGCCACGGCGATACCACGCTTTCTGTCACTTGGCCTGAAATAAGGAAACTTGTAAAATCACTAACTTTCAACACTTCTAATAAAATTCTTCCATGCATTAGTCAAAGATATTTTTATCACAAGTCTTGTTTATAGGCTTATACTAACCCGGGCGCTGATACTGTATTAATACAAACCCTTGTTTTGTAAATAAATTCATGCATGGAAAGCAATCAAAACATTTGTTATATTTAACATCAAACCTTATATTCAATAGTTTCATTGCATCACGAATTAATCCACTTTTAATGTCATAATCAAGTTTCGAATCTGTTCCAAAACTTGGGGAACGATTTACCTGTAAAATACACAAGTTCTAGCAACTTTACAAAATAATTCAACCGAATTCTTATGTCGAAGAAGATTGGTAACGACTATGGTTTCAATCCAAGTTATTCAACTACCTAAACGGAGTAGAAGTATATAAATGTGACATCAGTTTTCACCTCTAACAACCATGGTTTTATTTTTTGATCCAACAAAACATCAAATCCTAAGATCTCAAAGCAAACACTGGGATTACTGGAGTCAGATCCTGGACGGCATAAGCGATACGAGTGACGAACATGAGGTTGTGAGACTATCAATGTTTTTATAATGATATCCTGTAAGAAATAATGTAATATGTATTTACTAAGAATGCAATAAATCACCAAATACCGATGATCCCGTTTTCATGTTTTCATTGTCCAAGGCGTGTTGAGAATCTGTTTTTTTTGTTAAGCTTAAACTAAATCATTTTCAACTAAATCAATTTTCAATTTTTTCCTTATTCACCAACCGTGATGTTACTCCATACAGCGGCGACATTATAATCGTGCTTTCTTAACCACTGATTGAGGAATGCTAGAGACCTAGAAATGAAGATATTTTACTATTTTTGAAATTGGCTACATCTTATAGTAAAGTCAACAATACTGCAGGTTTACCCCTGCAATTCTTGCCTTTTGGGCTCTGAGAATATAATATGGTATGACTGGCCCATGACATGACTGCATGAGCAAAGTATAGTATTATAGTGTAATCAATACTAATTCTTTCATTTCAAAGGTATATCAATATGAGGTAACATGCAAGTAATGACCTTTTACTTCCTTTACTTGTGTCATCGTCTCTTGAAAAGTTTTCATTGTGTTTGTTCACTGAATAATTCGTCAAATGCATAAATAGATCGCTCTAAATATAAAATATAGTTCCAGCTAAGTTCCAAGTAGGTAACTAATTAATTCAGTAGACTTTCAGAAACTGAGTCGATTGTCGTTAACAAGATAAATAAAGTAACATAACATACCAAATTGTCGTCGTTAGGATTCTCGTAACATTCCGTACCCAATCTGACCTGAAATTATTGATATGAAATTATTTGCCAAATAAAGTTTACGAAAGTAAATTTTTAACGAAATTAGTAAAAAAATAGTATCTTCCCTACCAAACCATCATCATAAAGGAAAATACGTAATGGATCACAACTGGTCACCAAAACATAAATTCTAAGGTCGAATTTGTAACCATCTAGAAGCATTGGCTAAAAATAAATTAAGTTTGGTCGTATTAAGAATAAGACCCATGAAGGTCATATAGGATAGTGCTATTAAACTACACTATAATGATATCAAGGACAAGGGGGAAATTTACGAATCCTTTAAAAGCCGGATCACTATGCAACGGATTAACCGCCGTGCGAAGAAATGAAAATGATTCTGAGAAATACATCACGAGATAATTGATAAAAAAATGAATGCTTTAAAACAAAGTTTTAGTTAAAATCCTTGATTTAGTTAGATTTTTCATGCATAATTACACAAGGAGAAAATATTGTAAACCGCAATACATATAGACACGAGTGTAATGATACCCAAAAACACAACAGCAGTTTCGTCATATTAACCTTGTCAATATATTCTTGCACAACAATGTGATCATTTGTACGAATACGGTCAGCATTTTTTACTAAATATATCCTGAAAAAATCAAGAAAGAAAGATTGTTATCAACACATATATCTTTATATACCGTAGTTGCTGAAGACCTTGACCTTGAAGATTTCAAGGAGCCTGGACGTTGTTGCAATTACCAGAAGAGAAAAAAATGTTGTTAAAAAATTTCTGTCAAGGTTGAATTTTACTCACCCATTTCCCATGGCACCATTAGCTGGTTTAACTATAAATGTTCTAGTTTTTCTCCTCTTTTTTAAATCTCTACAATAATTTGTAAATAGTGTACATCTACAGGCTTAGTCAAGGAAATGCATGCAGAATGACAGTACCATAGTACAAGCATATTTTGTAATACTTGACTAATGTCCTTTAGTTCTAATTACTGATTAGTACGTAATTCCATTCATTTGCAGACATTCGTTTCTTTCTTCTTTTCATGCCACTCTGTGACTTTGTGACAAAATCATCATAATTCATGCCCCTTCAACCAACACAAAATCAAGGAGAAGACACAACTGCGTACTGAACAATAGAGAAGCTCTTTTTGGTTGGGAGAGTTCCTAGACTGATAAACCTCATACTGAGCAATGATTAGCTTCAACAATTTTGTTCAACAAAAGGATACTCAGCAGGAAAAATCCAAGTGTGTGGAACAAAATTATAATCTCCAGGAAAAGCTTTCTCCATTCTAAAAATATTTGCATGATTACCAGACACCTGAGCTTTATATATACATAGATATCATCAGAACCAGGAGTACAAAATCTGTGTGTAAATGTCCCCATACATTTGATGAAAGAAATGTAAAAAGATAAGGTTCTTATATACACAATGTTCTAAAATCAAGCACAATTACCGAGTCATGTTCCTAGCCAAAGCATCTTTTCTACAGATTTCTCCCATTCCAGGAAAATGGTTAATTCTCTGAAATTAAACATTTACAACCAAATGAAAAACTACACATTTTGTGAATAGCCCCTTAATTTACATATACACATAACAAAAGGCAAAACAAATTAGCAACTACCTGGTATGATTTTAATTCAACAATTCTTTCAGCAGGTACATAAGAGTCATTCCAAATGAAGAAACTGGTTAATTTAAAAAGAGAAAGTTATCATATTGTAAAAAGAAGAGAATAATTATTATTGTATAAATAAATAAACATTATTGTAAACCATATAAGCTAAACAACTAAGGCTGACTAATGATATAAATGTTAAACAAACTTTTTGAAATATTTCATATCAAGCAAAATTAAACAATCCATTAGTATTTTATTGAAATTTGGTTAATTAACACAATTAATAAATGGCCAATGGACACAAACTTTATTGGCTATTTTCATGCATGCACATGCAGCTCAATAGCACTAAAGAACAGGCCATGTAAGGCCCTAAAAAACAGTTCATATAGAATTTGATTTTTAACAGCCTTTGTTGATTGCAGGGATAGCTACAGTGTCATGACTTACTAGTTTTGGCTTGTAGTAGGATCTCACTGGCTATATGCATGCATACATCATCGACTAACTACCATTAATTTTATTATATCTTTTGTAATTTACCAGTTGGGATCTGTTTCTTTGACAATAATGAACCCCATTGATAAACATATCTCATGAACTAGGAATAAAAAATATTTAAATCTACTTTCTTGTCTGCAGTTTATCACATTCGGAGAAAAACATAAAACTATAACTATAGGCATTGACTAGTTTTCAAAGAATTGGATGTAAAAACTCCGCAGCATGATCTCCAGCTAGCAACACATTATGAAAGCTAGCCAGGTGGGGTTCCTACATGTAAGCCTATAAGTTTTGGCCCAGTCTATATAATCTCCGGAATTGGACAGATGTGTGATGCTGCAAGTAATTTAAGCATTCTTCCCACATGAATATAAATGCTATGTTGATGTAAAAGACAGTGAAATCCATGCTTCAATCTCGGCTTCAATGATTCAATCCATTATTCTTGTTCATTTTTTTTGTTCAATCTCCCATAGCAATTTTATATACATGCATCATAATAAAAATATAAATCATATTATCACATACCTACAGTATATTTAGTACCAGACAAATTCGCATGCATTCGTTTTGCACTCTTTCTTCTTTGTGATGTTTTTGCATTTGGTCTACTTGATATCTGAGATTTACCAAGCTCTTCTGACCTTTCACTTGCAGGAGGAACATGAGGACCAGTATGTGAATCTAAAATGTCTAATTCATTAAATCCAGTACATACTTTATCATTTTCAATTGTGTGAATACTTAAAGAGTCTTTAGACATTTGTTTCTGTCGACCATTTGCATTTGAAAAATTTTTATTTACAGCAATATTTTCACATTCATGTTCCAAGTATGATGTATCCTCGGATGTATCTATAAAGAGTGGTTTGACTGGTTTCTCGGTGTGAGATAACATTCGTCGTTTGTTGTGAATTCGTTGTTACATTCTAGCAAGATAACACGTCGATAACATGTCGACCAGCGCCTTCATGATTTCAAAATATAAAGTGTTTAAATGAATTTAACGATTATCTATAAATATCATTTGACTGCCAATTTTCTTACAAAATTTTGAAACTTGATCCTGCAACTTTTATATTTATATTTGACACAACTAGGACGCGTTGCTATGGAAATGTTGAAAGTCAAAAAGCGGATTATAAGTAATTTCATAAGTGTTCTCTCATGGTCCATTGTGTTGTGAAATGTTCAACGTGTAGTAAAGATTAAACGCGTTGTCGTTGTGAAATGACTCTGACGCGTTGTGAAATGATTCAAAGCGTTTAAAATGATTCAACGCCTTTAAAATGATTCAACGCGTTTAAAATGATTCAACGCCGGTTTCAAATGATTCAATGCGTTTAAAATGATTCAACGCGTTTCAAATGATTCAACGCGTTTAAAATGATTCAACGCCGGTTTCAAATGATTCAAAGCGTTTAAAATGATTCAACGCCTTTAAAATGATTCAACGCATTTTAAATGATTCAACGCCGGTTTCAAATGATTCAATGCGTTTAAAATGATTCAACGCGTTTCAAATGATTCAAGGCCTTTCAAATTAATAAACGCGTTTCAAATGATTCAAGGCGTTTAAAATGATTCAACGCGTTTCAAATGATTCAATGCGTTTCAAATGATTCAACGCGTTTAAAATGATTCAATGCGTTTCAAATGATTCAACGCGTTTCAAATGATTCAATGCGTTTCAAGTGATTCAATGCGTTTCAAATGATTCAACGCGTTTCAAATGATTCAATGCATTTCAAATGATTCAACGCGTTTAAAATGATTCAATGCGTTTCAAATGATTCAACGCGTTTCAAATGATTCAATGCGTTTCAAGTGATTCAATGCGTTTCAAATGATTCAACGCGTTTAAAATGATTCAATGCGTTTCAAATGATTCAACGCGTTTCAAATGATTCAATGCGTTTCAAATGATTCAATGCGTTTCAAGTGATTCAATGCGTTTAAAATGATTCAACGCGTTTCAAATGATTCAATGCGTTTAAAATGATTCAACGCGTTTCAAATGATTCAACGCGTTTGAAATTATTCAACGCGTTTAAAATGATTCAACGCGTTTGAAATTATTCAACGCGTTTGAAATGATTCAACGCGTTTAAAATGATTCAACGCGTTTAAAATGATTCAACGCGTTTCAAATGATTCAACGCGTTTGAAATGATTCAACGCGTTTCAAATGATTCAACGCGTTTAAAATGATTCAAAGCGTTTCAAATGATTCAAAGCGTTTCAAATGATTCAACGCGTTTAAAATGATTCAATGCGTTTAAAATGATTCAACGCGTTTAAAATGATTCAACGCGTTTCAAATGATTCAATGCGTTTCAAATGATTCAACGCGTTTAAAATGATTCAACGCGTTTAAAATGATTCAACGCGTTTCAAATGATTCAACGCGTTTGAAATGATTCAACGCGTTTCAAATGATTCAACGCGTTTAAAATGATTCAAAGCGTTTCAAATGATTCAAAGCGTTTCAAATGATTCAACGCGTTTAAAATGATTCAATGCGTTTAAAATGATTCAACGCGTTTAAAATGATTCAACGCGTTTCAAATGATTCAATGCGTTTCAAATGATTCAACGCGTTTAAAATGATTCAATGCGTTTCAAATGATTCGACGCGTTTCAAATGATTCAACGCGTTTCAAATGATTCAAAGCGTTTAAAATGATTCAACGCGTTTCAAATGATTCAACGCGTTTGAAATTATTCAACGCGTTTAAAATGATTCAACGCGTTTGAAATTATTCAACGCGTTTGAAATGATTCAACGCGTTTAAAATGATTCAACGCGTTTAAAATGATTCAACGCGTTTCAAATGATTCAACGCGTTTGAAATGATTCAACGCGTTTCAAATGATTCAACGCGTTTAAAACTGATTCAAAGCGTTTCAAATGATTCAAAGCGTTTCAAATGATTCAAAGCGTTTCAAATGATTCAACGCGTTTCAAATGATTCAACGCGTTTTAAATGATTCAACGCGTTTTAAATGATTCAACGCGTTTAAAATGATTCAACGCGTTTCAAATGATTCAAAGCGTTTCAAATGATTCAACGCGTTTCAAATGATTCAACGCGTTTCAAATGATTCAAAGCGTTTCAAATGATTCAAAGCGTTTCAAATGTTTCAACGCGTTTCAAATGATTCAATGCGTTTCAAATGATTCAATGCGTTTCAAATGATTCAATGCGTTTCAAATGATTCAACGCGTTTCAAATGATTCAATGCGTTTCAAATGATTCAATGCGTTTCAAATGATTCAAAGCGTTTCAAATGATTCAACGCGTTTCAAATGTTTCAACGCGTTTCAAATGATTCAATGCGTTTCAAATGATTCAATGCGTTTCAAATGATTCAACGCGTTTCAAATGTTTCAACGCGTTTCAAATGATTCAATGCGTTTCAAATGATTCAAAGCGTTTCAAATGATTCAATGCGTTTCAAATGATTCAACGCGTTTCAAATGATTCAATGCGTTTCAAATGATTCAATGCGTTTAAAATGATTCAAAGCGTTTCAAATGATTCAAAGCGTTTCAAATGATTCAATGCGTTTCAAATGATTCAACGCGTTTGAAATTATTCAACGCGTTTGAAATGATTCAACGCGTTTAAAATGATTCAACGCGTTTAAAATGATTCAACGCGTTTCAAATGATTCAACGCGTTTGAAATGATTCAACGCGTTTCAAATGATTCAACGCGTTTAAAATGATTCAAAGCGTTTCAAATGATTCAAAGCGTTTCAAATGTTTCAACGCGTTTCAAATGATTCAAAGCGTTTCAAATGATTCAATGCGTTTCAAATGATTCAACGCGTTTCAAATGATTCAACGCGTTTAAAATGATTCAATGCGTTTCAAATGATTCAATGCGTTTAAAATGATTCAATGCGTTTCAAATGATTCAATGCGTTTAAAATGATTCAATGCGTTTAAAATGATTCAAAGCGTTTCAAATGATTCAATGCGTTTAAAATGATTCAAAGCGTTTCAAATGATTCAAAGCGTTTCAAATGATTCAACGCGTTTAAAATGATTCAATGCGTTTCAAATGATTCAATGCGTTTAAAATGATTCAATGCGTTTAAAATGATTCAAAGCGTTTCAAATGATTCAATGCGTTTCAAATGATTCAATGCGTTTCAAATGATTCAATGCGTTTCAAATGATTCAATGCGTTTAAAATGATTCAATGCGTTTAAAATGATTCAAAGCGTTTCAAATGATTCAAAGCGTTTCAAATTATTCAATGCGTTTCAAATGATTCAACGCGTTTCAAATGATTCAACGCGTTTAAAATGATTCAATGCGTTTAAAATGATTCAAAGCGTTTCAAATGATTCAAAGCGTTTCAAATGATTCAATGCGTTTCAAATGATTCAATGCGTTTAAAATGATTCAAAGCGTTTCAAACGATTCAACGCGTTTCAAATGATTCAACGCGTTTCAAATGATTCAATGCGTTTAAAATGATTCAACGCGTTTCAAATGATTCAACGCGTTTCAAATGATTCAACGCGTTTGAAATGATTCAACGCGTTTCAAATGATTCAACGCGTTTAAAATGATTCAAAGCGTTTCAAATGATTCAAAGCGTTTCAAATGTTTCAACGCGTTTCAAATGATTCAAAGCGTTTCAAATGATTCAAAGCGTTTCAAACGATTCAACGCGTTTCAAATGATTCAACGCGTTTCAAATGATTCAACGCGTTTCAAATGATTCAAAGCGTTTCAAATGATTCAACGCGTTTCAAATGATTCAACGCGTTTCAAATGATTCAACGCGTTTAAAATGATTCAAAGCGTTTCAAATGATTCAAAGCGTTTCAAATGTTTCAACGCGTTTCAAACGATTCAACGCGTTTCAAATGATTCAACGCGTTTCAAATGATTCAACGCGTTTAAAATGATTCAAAGCGTTTCAAATGATTCAAAGCGTTTCAAATGTTTCAACGCGTTTCAAACGATTCAACGCGTTTCAAATGATTCAACGCGTTTCAAATGATTCAACGCGTTTAAAATGATTCAAAGCGTTTCAAATGATTCAAAGCGTTTCAAATGATTCAAAGCGTTTCAAATGATTCAACGCGTTTAAAATGATTCAACGCGTTTCAAATGATTCAAAGCGTTTCAAATGATTCAAAGCGTTTCAAATGATTCAAAGCGTTTCAAATGTTTCAACGCGTTTCAAACGATTCAACGCGTTTCAAATGATTCAACGCGTTTCAAATGATTCAACGCGTTTAAAATGATTCAAAGCGTTTCAAATGATTCAAAGCGTTTCAAACGATTCAACGCGTTTCAAATGATTCAACGCGTTTCAAATGATTCAACGCGTTTCAAATGATTCAAAGCGTTTCAAATGATTAAAAAAAAAATAATAATAATAATTTATTTATCCATCTTAGGTATAAAATTACAATGGATTTACAATTACTAAATATGATTAAAATGTATGTATATATACAAATATAATAAATTTACGATTTTAAGATTATGTCTATAATAGTGCATTAGTCCTTGGAATAAACGAAAGTTTATGCCTATTGGTATGAGAGAAGAACTGCGGTAGAGTTCTTGGAGTTCTTAGATTATATGTTGTCGTCACAATATCTGGTATATATTTCCTGCAAGGGTGCGTTTCATTATCCATAATTTTCTTGTATTCACGTATGGCGAGCATGTCACGACGCTGTTCAAGAGACTGAAATGAATCAGATGGCAGAGCAAGTATTTTTAGACTTCGAGTTTGAATGTTCTCCACCTCATCTATTAAATATTGTGGTAAACCACTCCAAATTGGGGCTGCATATTCCAAAACCGGCCTAATTTTCGTGAAGTAACAAGTTAAACCTACTTCCGTCGGTAGGTTTGCTCGGCGGCATTCCCGGAGGTGGAATAAACGTTTGTTTGCCTTTTTAGTAATTTCTTCAACGTGTGTATTCCATTTAAGGGTATCGTTACACCAAAGGCCCAGCAGCTTGAACGTTTTTACTCTTTCAATTGTATCATTACCAATCATAAGTGAAGGTGGTGCAGGAATTCCTTCTTTGAAGCAAATCCACATATCTTTAGTCTTTTTTATATTAAGTTCCATCTTGTTTCTAAGTGCCCAGTCATTCGTTGCATCTAACACCGTTTGCAT